GCGAAACCCGTGCTGAGAAGAGTGAAAGAATTGGTTAGAGTCCAGGAAGTTCATAACGTGGGTATAAATGACGTGTTCCATGATTTTGCAGGGTACGCTTGTTAAGGAAATGGGTCGATAATTTAATGGAGAGTCCTTGTTGCCTGATTTGAAAACGGGAACGACCTTCCCCGCCTTCCAGTCATCTGGAATGCCGCCTGTGAAAAGTGACTGCGAGAACATAAGTGAGAAAAATGATGAACATACATGGTTACAATTCTTCAAAAATTTCGAGGTGATTTCGTCGACGCCCGCTGATGATGACAACTTGATGTTATCAATAATAGACGAAATACCGGCAGTGGAAAATGAAATGGGGTGCATTTCCGATTCAATAGTTACGATTACAGGTGGGAGTGGTGCGTCGGGCTCTTGAGTAAACACTGATGAGAACGCGATATTAAACATGTTAGCGCACTTACTATCGCTAAGCACATTCCCCGATTCATCGGCAAGAGTTAAACCGGGAGTCTGCTGAGGGTTTATGACCTGCCAGAACTTTCTTGGGTTACTGATTAATATGTTTGGTAAGTCAATAAGGAAAAATGAGCGCTTGGCTTCAATGATCGCGTTTAAATATGTTTCTTCGGCCTCGTAGTACCTTTCCCACGCGCATGGGTTTGGTTTTGACTTCGCAGAGCGAAAAAGACGCTTTTTTTTATTTTCCAGCCTCTTAAGGGTTTTAGTGAACCATGGCTTCTGTCGGCTAACACGAAAACTGATTTTAGGAATAAATGTATTTATTAATTCGTTAAACTTGTTCTTTAGTAGTACCCAATTTTCATGGATGGATCGACTTTGATAAGCAGCCTCAAAGTCAGTAAAAAAATTGGTTAAATGGTTATTTATCGCTTCATAATTTCCTTTGTTGTAGAGGCAAATTGTTTTATTTTGAGAAGGGGGCAACGTCGGCGAAAACATAAAATCAGCGTGAATGACCTTATGGTCACTAATTTCCCGTAGGTAAGTAATTGACGACATACTGTCAGGACGGTTGGTTAATATTGGGTCCAAGAGACTTGCAGTCTCTTGCGTGACACGTGTTGGCTCAGTTAATATTTGGGACAGGTTAAAATTGAGGCAAACATCGATAAATTCTCTCGTTTCTGCGTTGCTCGTTGTTGTAGGCGCCAGGTTAGCCCAATCGACATATGGGTAATTAAAATCGCCAAAAAGAAGTATGTGGGCATTGGGATGTTTTGCAGTGAGGTGGCACAGCATATCGTTAAGCTGCCCCGGAAAATCGGGACTATTATGCGGCGGCCTGTAACAGACACCCAACAGCACTGTTTCAGGAGCGGCATGACAGATGAGCCAGAGTATTTCCAGATCGGATTTAGTGTTAATAGTAGTGCATGGTATTTGATGGTTTACGGCAATGAGAACACCTCCCCCGCGAGTACCTTTGTGATCATTACGAAAGAGACGGAAATTTGGCAGGTACGCTAAAACTTCGGAGTCAGTAACATCACTGGTTAGCCAAGTTTCAGTGAGCACAAGTACATTGCATTCAGAAGATAATACAACGCCAGATACGAGTTCGCGCTTCGGAAGAAAGCTGCGTATGTTAGTAAAGATCACCGAAAAAGAAAGATTAGTTCGAGGGGCACGTTGGGGGCGTGTTGTAATTTTCTGTTGACGGTGCGATTGCTATGAGATTTCTTTGACTGATTGGCATGATTCATCGAAAACGTAACGTTTTGCGCCGATAAGCAGTGTTTTGTAGCGCAAAGAAAAGGGAGCAGATTTGCTTCTAGCAAAGGCAAGGAGGTGCTTCCGTGCGTTGCGAACTGAGCGGGAAAAATCTTCGCCCATGCTGAAGTTAGTACCTTTTAGTTTACGGCCATTCGAAAGGATGGCTTCTTTAGTTTTGAAAAAGGAGAAGTTCACTATTATTGGTCGTGGACGCTCGACCGAATGACGCCCGAGGCGGTGGGCACGTTCTATTTCTTTCGAGTCTAATGTTACATCAAAAAGTTCAGAGCAAAGGCGAATGATTCTTTGTTCGGACTGGGCAAACGTCTCTGTAGGTGAGGGATCGGACACACCATAAAATATTAAATTCTTTCGTCGGGATCGATTTTCAGCGTCGTCCACACGGGCCTCAAGGTCAGAGACCTGACGAGCCGCGTGGGCGGCCCTGGTCACCGTGGCCTCCACCTCAGCACGTAGCGTGGAAAGGCCTTGGTAATGACCCTCCAGGTCAGTCATCCGCCTGCCTAGGTCCGATATGGTCCTATCGGTTATCTGCAGCTGACTTTTTAGGCCCTTTACCTCCTCGATGAGTTTAGTTTGACCTGCAAACAGCTTCTGAAATTCGCTTAGGATTTCACTTGAGGTAACAGGACCCGGATTAGTCTCTACATCTCCAGACAACATCAGTAAGCGGCGGATGACTTGAGCACATTCTCTAGCAACGGCAATGCAACACTGCAGGCTCGGCAGCTGTACTAAAAGATAGTTGCTCGATTTCTTAGACGAGCTAACGTATGACAGACCAACCTGCATGGTGTAGGACAGCGGGTTAATAGACCGTGTTGTGGCACAGCCACCGAGCCCACAGAGTGCAGTCGCCGGATGTTGTTCTTTTATGACTGGCGCATCTGTTGACGTCGATGACGATGGTGCTTCCCACGATGAACTGGGGATCCACGGATCAGAAGACAGCGCCACAAGGTTTAGCGGCGCGTTTGCTGTTGATGACTGCCAATCTCTCGAGCCGTGCGCGTGGCGAAGGGGCGTACTTTCCGTGGCGATAATCCAGGTATCATTCAGGAAGGCTGGAACCATGACGAGGGTGATGAACGAGGTAAGGACCTGCATGGTGTAGGACAGCGGGTTAATGGACCGTGTTGTGGCACAGCCACCGAGCCCACAGAGTGCAGTCGCCGGATGTTGTTCTTTTATGACTGGCGCATCTGTTGACGTCGATGACGATGGTGCTTCCCACGATGAACTGGGGATCCACGGATCAGAAGACAGCGCCACAAGGTTTAGCGGCGCGTTTGCTGTTGATGACTGCCAATCTCTCGAGCCGTGCGCGTGGCGAAGGGGCGTACTTTCCGTGGCGATAATCCAGGTATCATTCAGGAAGGCTGGAACCATGACGAGGGTGATGAACGAGGTAAGGACCTGCATGGTGTAGGACAGCGGGTTAATGGACCGTGTTGTGGCACAGCCACCGAGCCCACCTCGGTGGCTGTGCCACAACACGGTTGCTATTCGGTGTGTTGCTGCTGACGTAAGGCCCAAATCAGCGTTGCCTGTCGTCGACAGGTGACGCTGTGTATCGTTCAAGTAGCTGACAATGCCTACCAGCGTCGCCTTTATCTAGGCTCAGAGTTGTGACCTCGTAGAGTGGTAATAGGTGTGTAGCTAACTTGGTAGACGGCACGTGTAGATCCAGGTACGGAGAAGTAGAATTTACAGGGGGCCCACAGTTGCAGACCACCATTCTCATGGAAGCTCTCAAGGGACACAAGTCGGTTCCTAGATGCAGCAGCCCAGCATTGAAGTCAAGCATGCACTCGTGTGCTTTGAGAAAATCTATGCCAAGGATGCACTGCCCAACAGCCGCAACAATAAAAGGCACTTCAACTTGAAGTTCCCCACGGTGAAAGGCACGGTTGTGCAGCCCAGGAACCATGTCCCCTGTTTTGGTTTGGACAACACAGCTTTCGAAGTTTGGCAGCTAGGACGGCTCGGTTCGCCTTCAGGAAAACTTTCGGGTGGATTAGAGAGGCTGTTGTCCTACTATCGACAAGTGCGCACACTGGCACACCGTCGATGATGACCTGGATGTAGATAAAAGTTGAAGTTGAATTACGAGTTGGCGTCATTATTGTTGTCGAATTTCTGCTCCCATGGCAAATGTCACGCTTCAGGCACTGCTCCCGCAAATGACCTCGCAGGTGGCCATTCCAGTAAATGAAAGCTGGAGGAACTGTGTCCTTCCAGTGGAACTCTCAAATTGCAGACACGTAAATCGAGATGCCTGTCGAGCGGCTCGTACCTCCAAGGCACGAGTGTGTGCTGCGCAAAGAGTTTTCGAGAGTGCTAGACGAAGTGCATCTTGCACCTGGACAGACGAGATGGCATCAATAAATGCCACGGTGGCGGCAGTCACAATTTTTTCGTGTGGGCAGCCAGGGAACGTAACACGGGCGAGGCGGTCGATGTCGTCGGAGAGATGCGAGATTGTCTCTTTTGGAGACTGACGGCAGCTGTGAAGTTGTGCATGATGGAGGCACCGGAGCGGCCCTTCTCTGAAGCGCTGGTTTAATGCTGCGACCAAGCACGGGCAAGATTGTCAAGCTTCAGGTGGCAAATGATGCATTAGATTCAAGGCTGGTCCAGCTAGATGGGTGGCCAAGACGAGCATTTTGAGCCTCCGCCCAAAAGTTTGCGACCACAATGATGTTGAATTGTGAAATATAAGGCCTCCAAGGAGCGCTACCGTTGTGTGTGGAGGGTTTCAGGCGCAGACATGGAAGTCCCAATGGGTTCTGGACTGGAACGTTAACGGCACAGAGCTCCTCGGGTTCATAAAGTTTGGCCACCAGGCGATGTAGACGTTCGGTGACCGGAGCAACGAGCTTGAGTATTACCTTAGAGCGGTAAACCGGAACCCACTGCCTGCAGCGGAAATGGCACCCCCCGATTGCCGCCATCTTGCCTGTTTGCCACATTAGTGATCACGTGACTTAAAGATGACTGCGCCCAGAGGTGGGTCAGATCAGATTGGCCAGATCACGGTCAGCAGATGGGCACTCTGGGGATGTGTTCCAATCTTACTCAAATAGACCCGAGTTATTCCGGCGAATCAAGTCACGTGACAAGACAGGTTGACGCGGGTAGGTTTTTGAACGCAACGGGTACAAGACCTTTTCCCAAGTGTGAGATAGAGTAAATTTTGGAACACGGCGACACGGCCGCCTGAATGGGAGCCACTGTAGCCGAGCCGAGCGCGAGTGTGTGCGTGTGCGAGCTGGTCGGGGGCGGCTGGTGCGGCGACGGCGGCAACGGCGGTGCGAGTCGCATTGAACCGCGATGATCGTGCTGTGGGAGATTGGAAAATCTCCATGCGTGCTATGTTTGGCTAGGCAGACGATGAACAAATAGAGCTGGGTATGAACGTATGGCACAAGATCTAACCAGGTATGGGCACCGATCCGAATCGGTCGTAGTACATGTCAAACATCGCGTGGATATCTCGCATGAAAGTTTTGCATTCTCTCTGCACTCGACCTGCGGAATGTTCATTGCTCTTAAGGATAGGTACGCAGGGCATATGGAGTGTCTGCGATTGGAAGCCGAGAATGAATGCGTGAGAGGTTTCGGTGCTTTCGCGTGACTAAGGCTCGAGGATACGGTTGATCACGTCAGACGTTCCCGGCCGATTTTCTTTTACGTCCGACCCATATTAGGTTGCTATAGGTTGCCGTGCCCGTGGGGAACGGCACTGCTACCGTAAGTTCGCGCTGTGATTTGTAAGCATGGTCCTCGGAGTCCTGAGCCCTCGGCGCACACCAGGCGCCGTCTTCATATATAAGGTCTCTACCGCGCATACGTCCGACGTACCTTTGAAAAAATCGGCCGAGTATGTCCAACGTATGTAAGGAATGCCTTCCGGGTACGTCCAAACTACCTTTAGTCACAGCGTTAATTCTCTGCTTGCAAGGCGCCGGTAGTCGTCTGTAGGTGTCAACACGGCTGAGAATAGTTGATGGAAACCAATGTCGTTGGTCAAAGTTCTCAAGACAGTGCTTACTCGCTCGCGTCGAAGCTTGTGAACGGTTACACCTGAAACCACTTTATGTCTCTTTTTTTCGGATACAGCTTTTTCCGGGATACCAGCAAGCGCTACAGCTGTTGCGCCGTCTTGTTACAGAAGGACTGGGCATCCGCAGACACAAGTGCAGTCCTTCAACCACTGCTGGTGTCAAGTGCAGGAAAATAACAAGGGGCTCACAGATTTTTGTTCTCTGGTACAGAGCAGCCGAGACAGCATAATGCTGGATTGTAACTCTGTTGTTACAGTGTCTTTCACCAAGCACAGCTGTTCCGGGGACGGCCACGTGCTGTCTTTTTGCCTGTTTGCTACGGTCGACACGGTGGAGGCAGGTCGTGACATTGCACGGACGGCTGGACACCGAAGCGACGCAGGCTGACCATCAACCTTCTCAAGGGTGACCCATCTTCAGCCTCCTGAGTACGCTGAAGGCATCATACTCACCTAGGTCTGGTGCCATTGCAGCAAAGCACTTCTGCGCTTCACGAGGCATGCTTGCTTCTCTTTTTATGACTTTCTCTCGGGGCTCTGTCAGCATCTTCTTTGACTCTTGCTTTTGTTCGAGCGGTCATTTGGATCGTGAGAGAAAATAGTCTGCAGGGACTGCTGTCCCTGTCCAATATAGTGCCTTTAGCTTTCAGTGACGTCTTTCAGAAGCGACTACTAACAAAAGTCTCCGCACTTTCTCTACACTGGCATGGATCGAAAGCATCCTTACACATATGTCACTCCAGAGGCACTCCTGTAGCTTCTGGCGTACCAGAAAGACATCTAGTTGAACCATTGCTCCCTTTTGTGATTTTTTTTTAAAAAACTTGCCCTATCCTTGTCTTTTAGTGTTTTTCTTTTCTTCTTATGTCTGTGTCATTTACAGAGTCATATCAACCACACAAAACTTAATGTAACTTTGAAAGTTATGTAGACCTAAGTAATGGTTAGTTACACATCAAAATATCTGCCGACATTTGTTCACTGCTTACTCCATTAGCATGCTGCCTGCGATGCGTCTCCGACTGGTGTGTTTACCGATTCTGAAAAAGTGGTCCCTCAATTTCCTCTCGGTGACGTCATACAAGCGTCATGCTGTTGCCGGCCGCAATCCTGGCAGTGTCACAGCAGCGCGGGTGAACGTGACGGACGCCTGTTTTGCTGCAGGTCGCTCTTCAGTGTTGCAGTCCACGGAAGTTTTGGCAGCTAGAAGTTGGGACACCCTGACGACAGCGACACTCGTGTTCGGTTGTTCTACTCGCAGCCTTTTCGTTAGCATTTCTACGACCAACCGCCAGAATCACGACATGCAACAGCATGACACTTTGGCTTCTGTGACGTCATTTGTTGCCACTTTGGGACCACTTTTGATGTATGGGCAGCATAGGACGCTAAACACACCGGTTGGAAACACGCTACGGACACCATACTATATATAACCTTGACATGGAATCTGTCTTGCACTGTGAATGTCTTGTACATTTCTCTCGCTACCTTCTCTGGAATGCCGTTTTCTGATTCAAAGCGCATCCTTGATTTCTTATGCTGTAACCTCCGTCTGGTTTTTTCATCTGTCAACTGCCTTGCTTATGTTGAAATAGTGCGACCAAAACTAGAATATGCGTCCTCGGTGTGGGAGCCACATGTTAAATGTCTCTCATCCAATTTCAGGGGTGGATGCAGGAATTTCCTGAGGAGGGGGGGGGGGGGGGGTCAGGTGTTGGTCAGCGTACCATATCTTTAGGAACCCCCTCCCCTTCTCCCTCGTTTCACGCCCTAAATTTTACGCATGCAGAAATCAAGAGGGGGGGGGGGGTCAGGATATCCGGACCCCCCCTCTAAATCCGCCCCTGCCCAATCCGGATTTGGTTCAGAATCGGGCTAGTACTCGCTTTATTCTACATTTTAGGTTTGGTAGCATCACTAAACTTAAATGCAACTTAAATGCAGTTTTTTTTTCAAACTCCCCTGTGTTCATATAGGCATATTAGTAAACTTTGTCTCCATCATAGGTTTTAATTCCTGCATGATTTATTCATCTTGCCACCGCATCGGATATTCCCTCGCATTGATCACTGTTCCTCTCAACAGGCCTGTCGACTTTAATGGCCTGTCTGAAGCCACTGTTTCCCTCCAAGACATTGACTCCTTTCGTGACATATTAAGCTCAATATTTTATTAAATCACTCCATTATGCAATACCCTAACCCCAGGGCTCTTAGGATACTTAAAATAAATAAACAAAATGAAAAAAGTCGGTAGTTGGAAAGAAACTGGACGATTCTTGTCGTGAGAAGCCAAGTCTTTTGATATGTGGCGCCAAGTCTTCATAAATGGTGTTTTGCAAACAGAAGCCAGGCTCAGATGGCAAATGTAGCACAGGTTTAGTTATTGTCCACGAAAGAGCACGAGCTTGTTGAAGTATTGCCGGACGGGCACTCCCCTTTCCTCGGCACTTTGCTGCCGGCACATGTGGTGAATCCTCAGCTGAAAGTAGTGTGCCAGCATCTTCTTGAGCATGACAGAGAAGTGAGATTGATTGTCAATTGTTTGTGCAACAAACAGGTGGTCGAACCTCTTGAAGGATGGTGACAAGGAGACAATACTCAATGTCTCGGTTTGCAGCCTGAGAAGCCAGTTCCGCCCTCCCTTGGCCACTGTGTCGAAGTTTCTGCGAAGCACCTTCTCGGCAGTGGTGCAGAGATGCAGAATGTCTGGGGATGGACTGTGGAGACCGCCCTTGTCCTTGACACGCACCAGGTCACATTTGTCAGTGGTGAGAAGTGCAATCCTTGCACAGTCCGGGCATTTTGCGTCTTTTGCAAAGTGAACGGCCACATTGCCCGCAATGTATTGTACAATGCTCTCGGCAAACTCCGAGAGAGGCTTGTATCCTATAACCCAGGTGGCGTCGGCGTCGTCCTGGCTTGTGTCAGCTGTCGGGTCTTGCTGGCGCTTGTCCGACGAGCTCAAAAGGAGCGTCTCCGTGCCGTCCACCTGACAGTTGCCACGGCTCGAGGGCAGCACATTCGCGATGAGGCACTTCCTGTACGCCGAGCGAAATTCGAGGGCCGTAGGATTGTTGTTGTTGCCCGTTCTGTTCCTGATTGTTGCAAAGAACAATTCGAGGTGGTCTTGACTTAGCTTGCGTGTCAGCAGGCACTTGAGCAAAGGACTGCTGCTCCAAACGAGGTCTTCAGCCAGACCCTTGATGGACTGGAGGGCCAACAGAAATCCAACAATGGCGGTCTTTCTTGGACCTTGGATCAGGGGTCTGCCCGTGGTATCCTTTAGGCCTCTGAGATAGCGCGAGGCTTTGTCAATCCTTGTCAAGATTGTCTCCTTGTTGTTGACGCGAATGGGGGCCTTGCTGCCAAGAGCGAGAGGGTGGCAGGAATTGGTGAGGTCAAACGTGTCGTCCACTACTGCTGCAAACTCGGCAGTGGCCTCCACACCCTCAAAGCCGGGGATCTGCTTTTCCTTGCAGAACAACAAGGCGCAGCTGACGGAGCGGCTTAACGTCTGTGCCGCCAACGACACCTTCATCTTCTGTTGGTGGAAATCGATGTGCCGTCTCCGAAGTTTGTTCCCGGCGTGTAGGCCTTCCTTTTGTTGTAGGCGATCCAAACACATTATGTAATGCCAGGCAACAGTCCTACCCGCACCATCCCTGATGAGCTCCTTTTCAGCCAGCAGGTTTCGCATGAGCTTCAACATGTGGCATGCGTCTAAGATTGCATACACCCTTCTTGACGGGTCGGAGGGGTGAGGGAACCAGCTCTTCATTCTTGGTTCCGCCAGGCTTACGCCAAGCGCTGAGAGCATGGATAGATTGCAGCTTGTGCCGTCGCACGTCACAGAGATGCAGTCGGCACCAGCCTCCTTCAATTTTATCAGGTATTGCTGGACCAAATTGGACCGAACAGTGCCGTCGAGTCCATCAATCAGGGCATATCCCAGAGGTAGCTTCCAGTTGCGGTTGACGGCAACTGCCAGGAAAACAAGCGCGTGCTTCGCATATGCAATGCAGTCGTCTTTGAGGATGCCATGGCCCAGGTCGCAGTAGCCTACAACTTCCTTGCCGTCCCAGTCCGCTTGTTTCTTTATACTAATCTCATCTACCATAAGGCTGATGAGGAGAGGTCCTTTCTGAGCTTCGTGGGAAACTTTTTCGAAGCACTCCTTTGTGAAGCCCGGCTTCGCACCAATCACGGCTGCCCATTTCCGAAGTGCGCTGGGGTGAGGCAGTTTCACATGTTTGCGCAGAAATTTGTAAGCTTTGGCCGAATAGAAATGCAGTGTCAAGGCAAACTTGCGCACATCTTCCGAGTAGCTGTTGTTTGCCTTTCCTGTTTTTTTCAGCACAATGTCTCGCAGTGTGCCACTGAAGATGTTGTCCAGGATGGCTACCGCTGGTTGAGGTAGCTGTGCCCTGAGTTTCTTCAGCAGCGCATTGAGTTTTTTTATCTTCATTCCCTTCCGGTTCGCCTTTCTTTTTGCTTGTCTTAGGATCTTCTTGGCTTTTCGCAGCTTGCGCTTGCTGGCAGCTAGAAGCATCCTGTCCCGTCGTGGAGACACAACTGTGTAGCTGTGGTCGCCAGAGCAGGTGGCCGGCCGTGAGGATGGAGCTTCGGGGCTGCTTGACGCTGCTTGAGAATCTGCTGTGGATGGGGCGTGTGGAGAGGGAAAGTCAGTCTGGCGGGACCGTTGAGATCGGACCACTTGGGAGGTGGAGGGAAAGTCAGTTCGGGGGTGTTGTTGAGGTCTGTCCGTTTGAGGGGTGAACAGTGTGGGCACTGCTCCTTGTTTGAGGTTAGTCTTGCCAACAAGCCTGTGGAAGCAGTCATTTTCGAAGTGCTCTGAACACAGCTTGGAGAACTTGGTGGGAGTCCAGTGTATGCATTCCATTTTCTGCAGCCATGCCTGGAGGAGTTCTGGATGTCTCAGTGGAAATCTGCGGGAGACAACGAGGTCGGACTGTCAAAACACCGAAACAATGCTGTCTTTCAATAAAGCAAATACATATTTGTGCATTTCTAATTATTGTTTGTGTGCATTTTATTATAGAAAAATATGCTTATTCTAAACTACCCCTTCTGCCTCATTTATATGCCACTAATATTTGAAGTTTCTGAAACATTTGTTGCAAGTATGACGAGCAGGTAATTTGAAATGTTTCAAACCCAATTTGGAGTAGTTTAGATAATGTGCTTCAACCACAGAGCAACTTTCAAATATGTGCGGTTGTCCTACATAAATGTGCCCAAAACTGCAAGTTTAAATCCAATGATTGCGCTTGCTTGCCTATCGCATATTTAACTGTATTATAATGATGCGACTTAATTATGCCGAAATGCGGGCTAAGGTTCGTAAAGATCGCAACGCAGTTGGAAAGAGTTGACCGCAGTAATTTGAGAGTTAGTGGAAAGCTTACCCGTGGAACGTTATTGCCGAGTCCTTCTTGTACCTGTTAGTACAGTTAGGAGCCGCGCACGAATGCGGCATAGCTTTTAGAGTTCAAATCAAGTTGGAAATAAAATGGCAAAGGAATCGGACACGACGAGCTGACAGCCTCTGAACCACAGGAATATGCGCAGTCGTCTGCTATCTTTTGGCCGCAAATTCAAACGAAGCTTGATTGAAGTCAATGTTGTAGATTACTTTATTACATCAGTTATAAGCACTAAAAAACTGTGCCACTTTGTCAACATTGCAGTTATAACCAAAATCACACAAAAAATTGCGCGCCAAAATTGTCGTCTGCTACTCTTTGCGCGCCCTAGCTGCTGCTGTTCAATTCCATGAAATGCCCAAACCGGCATCTTCCAGCGATAATACGAAATCGGCATACACATATCAAGCAACAAATAGGAATTTCCGTTCTCAGTAGCATGCATTAATACAAACTAGAGCACTGCACGGGCCGGAATTTCTAGGCCCGGCCCGACCCGGCCCGGTAGAGACACGGCCCGGGCCCGGCCCGAGCCCGACAGAATTTTTAATTTCTAGGCCCGGCCCGACCCGGCCCGGAAGAGACCCGGCCCGGGCCCGGCCCCAGCCCGACAGAATTGTTAATTTCTAGGCCCCGCCCGACCCGGCCCGATGGCTGTAGCCCGAAATAACCCATTCCCGTTTGAACCCGTCCTGTTTCGATCCGTTCCCGAAACGAGCTCCCCATTTGAACCCGTCCTGTTTCGACTCATTCTTTAAACACCCTTCCCATATGAACCCGTCCCGTTTCGACCAGTTCCCTAAACGCCCTTCTCGTTTGAATTTGTCCTGTTTCGACCCATTCCCTAAACGCCCTTCTTATTTGAACCAGTTTCCGAAACACCCTTTGCGTTTGAACGCGTCCCGTTTCAACCTACTTGTATAAGGCCCTGCACATCGCAACCTCTTCGCAAAAAGTTTCCATCGTTCTAAGCCTGGTCTGCGCACCTTTTCTGTTTAAGAATGTGTTCTGAAGTAGCTTTACATGTAAACGCGTTCTTAAAATATACAACCCTTTCAGGCAAGCTTAAGTTTAATATATTCCTACTTAACCCCTTAAAACGTTTTTTTTTTCAAGATGGTTCCCAAAACGTGCAAGCGCGGAACGGACTATGTACACTGCGCGACACTGATAGCGCGAACACGACGTTGGCTCTTTTTTCGAATTTTACTTCGAAATGGTGTAAGTAGGCATTAAAGTATACCGCTTAGGTCTGTGGCCCAAATGAGCACTTCTAAAGACACTAATAGTTTTGAAAACAGCCTTTTGATTCTATGAGATAAACATAAAAACACGACGATCGCTTGTTCGCGCTAATGTAGTGTCGCGCTCTGTGCAATAAGGGAGTCTTAGAATAGCGTACTCAAGTACTTTGGGCAAGCTAAAATTAGCATCGCGATAGGTTTTACATCGCAACGCTATTTTTACGGTACCCAAAGCGCTTGCGTACGTTTTTCTAAATCTTCCTAATAGTGAACTAGATATTTTGAGTGCGATGGATCAGACAGGTTGACAAGCATATGACTGGGACTTTATTTTGTTTACAATTTATAACACAACCCTCGCTCACACGGAAAAAGCTTGAAGGCTTTCTAGCTTCAAGACGTCTTTTAGTTATTATTTTTAACGAGGCTGTAGTGAATTTGCACTTCGCTTTTTTTTGTATTCAATTGACCTAAAAGATTAATGAGCAAACTTCTTGCTATCAACAACAATTTATGATTTACGGGACAAGATTGCCCATGCACGGCCCGGGCCGGCCCGGGCCGGCGCGGCCCGAGAACTTTTTTGTTCAAGCCCGAGCCCGGCCCGGGCCCGAGAAAATGCGTGCTACCCGGCCCGAGCCCGGCCCGCGGGCCGGGCCGGGCTCGGGCTTTCGGGCTGGCCCGGGCCCGTGCAGTGCTCTAATACAAACCCCCTTGACAACGGTGCACATTTCAACACTGCACTGTGGTGGAAGCATCTTGCAGGCACGCAAGTATGATTTCAAACATATCACTTCGATAGTCTATTGTCTAATGCATGCTACTGAGAACGGAAATTCCTATTTGTTGCTTGATATGTGTATGCCGATTTCGTATTATCGCTGGAAGATGCCGGTTTGGGCATTTCATGGAATTGAACAGCAGCAGCTAGGGCGCGCAAAGAGTAGCAGACGACAATTTTGGCGCGCAATTTTTTGTGTGATTTTGGTTATAACTGCAATGTTGACAAAGTGGCACAGTTTTTTAGTGCTTATAACTGATGTAATAAAGTAATCTACAACATTGACTTCAATCAAGCTTCGTTTGAATTTGCGGCCAAAAGATAGCAGACGACTGCGCATATTCCTGTGGTTCAGAGGCTGTCAGCTCGTCGTGTCCGATTCCTTTGCCATTTTATTTCCAACTTGATTTGAACTCTAAAAGCTATGCCGCATTCGTGCGCGGCTCCTAACTGTACTAACAGGTACAAGAAGGACTCGGCAATAACGTTCCACGGGTAAGCTTTCCACTAACTCTCAAATTACTGCGGTCAACTCTTTCCAACTGCGTTGCGATCTTTACGAACCTTAGCCCGCATTTCGGCATAATTAAGTCGCATCATTATAATACAGTTAAATATGCGATAGGCAAGCAAGCGCAATCATTGGATCTAAACTTGCAGTTTTGGGCACATTTATGTAGGACAACCGCACATATTTGAAAGTTGCTCTGTGGTTGAAGCACATTATCTAAACTACTCCAAATTGGGTTTGAAACATTTCAAATTACCTGCTCGTCATACTTGCAACAAATGTTTCAGAAACTTCAAATATTAGTGGCATATAAATGAGGCAGAAGGGGTAGTTTAGAATAAGCATATTTTTCTATAATAAAATGCACACAAACAATAATTAGAAATGCACAAATATGTATTTGCTTTATTGAAAGACAGCATTGTTTCGGTGTTTTGACAGTCCGACCTCGTTGTCTCCCGCAGATTTCCACTGAGACATCCAGAACTCCTCCAGGCATGGCTGCAGAAAATGGAATGCATACACTGGACTCCCACCAAGTTCTCCAAGCTGTGTTCAGAGCACTTCGAAAATGACTGCTTCCACAGGCTTGTTGGCAAGACTAACCTCAAACAAGGAGCAGTGCCCACACTGTTCACCCCTCAAACGGACAGACCTCAACAACACCCCCGAACTGACTTTCCCTCCACCTCCCAAGTGGTCCGATCTCAACGGTCCCGCCAGACTGACTTTCCCTCTCCACACGCCCCATCCACAGCAGATTCTCAAGCAGCGTCAAGCAGCCCCGAAGCTCCATCCTCACGGCCGGCCACCTGCTCTGGCGACCACAGCTACACAGTTGTGTCTCCACGACGGGACAGGATGCTTCTAGCTGCCAGCAAGCGCAAGCTGCGAAAAGCCAAGAAGATCCTAAGACAAGCAAAAAGAAAGGCGAACCGGAAGGGAATGAAGATAAAAAAACTCAATGCGCTGCTGAAGAAACTCAGGGCACAGCTACCTCAACCAGCGGTAGCCATCCTGGACAACATCTTCAGTGGCACACTGCGAGACATTGTGCTGAAAAAAACAGGAAAGGCAAACAACAGCTACTCGGAAGATGTGCGCAAGTTTGCCTTGACACTGCATTTCTATTCGGCCAAAGCTTACAAATTTCTGCGCAAACATGTGAAACTGCCTCACCCCAGCGCACTTCGGAAATGGGCAGCCGTGATTGGTGCGAAGCCGGGCTTCACAAAGGAGTGCTTCGAAAAAGTTTCCCACGAAGCTCAGAAAGGACCTCTCCTCATCAGCCTTATGGTAGATGAGATTAGTATAAAGAAACAAGCGGACTGGGACGGCAAGGAAGTTGTAGGCTACTGCGACCTGGGCCATGGCATCCTCAAAGACGACTGCATTGCATATGCGAAGCACGCGCTTGTTTTCCTGGCAGTTGCCGTCAACCGCAACTGGAAGCTACCTCTGGGATATGCCCTGATTGATGGACTCGACGGCACTGTTCGGTCCAATTTGGTCCAGCAATACCTGATAAAATTGAAGGAGGCTGGTGCCGACTGCATCTCTGTGACGTGCGACGGCACAAGCTGCAATCTATCCATGCTCTCAGCGCTTGGCGTAAGCCTGGCGGAACCAAGAATGAAGAGCTGGTTCCCTCACCCCTCCGACCCGTCAAGAAGGGTGTATGCAATCTTAGACGCATGCCACATGTTGAAGCTCATGCGAAACCTGCTGGCTGAAAAGGAGCTCATCAGGGATGGTGCGGGTAGGACTGTTGCCTGGCATTACATAATGTGTTTGGATCGCCTACAACAAAAGGAAGGCCTACACGCCGGGAACAAACTTCGGAGACGGCACATTGATTTCCACCAACAGAAGATGAAGGTGTCGTTGGCGGCACAGACGTTAAGCCGCTCCGTCAGCTGCGCCTTGTTGTTCTGCAAGGAAAAGCAGATCCCCGGCTTTGAGGGTGTGGAGGCCACTGCCGAGTTTGCAGCAGTAGTGGACGACACGTTTGACCTCACCAATTCCTGCCACCCTCTCGCTCTTGGCAGCAAGGCCCCCATTCGCGTCAACAACAAGGAGACAATCTTGACAAGGATTGACAAAGCCTCGCGCTATCTCAGAGGCCTAAAGGATACCACGGGCAGACCCCTGATCCAAGGTCCAAGAAAGACCGCCATTGTTGGATTTCTGTTGGCCCTCCAGTCCATCAAGGGTCTGGCTGAAGACCTCGTTTGGAGCAGCAGTCCTTTGCTCAAGTGCCTGCTGACACGCAAGCTAAGTCAAGACCACCTCGAATTGTTCTTTGCAACAATCAGGAACAGAACGGGCAACAACAACAATCCTACGGCCCTCGAATTTCGCTCGGCGTACAGGAAGTGCCTCATCGCGAATGTGCTGCCCTCGAGCCGTGGCAACTGTCAGGTCGACGGCACGGAGACGCTCCTTTTGAGCTCGTCGGACAAGCGCCAGCAAGACCCGACAGCTGACACAAGCCAGGACGACGCCGACGCCACCTGGGTTATAGGATACAAGCCTCTCTCGGAGTTTGCCGAGAGCATTGTACAATACATTGCGGGCAATGTGGCCGTTCACTTTGCAAAAGACGCAAAATGCCCGGACTGTGCAAGGATTGCACTTCTCACCACTGACAAATGTGACCTGGTGCGTGTCAAGGACAAGGGCGGTCTCCACAGTCCATCCCCAGACATTCTGCATCTCTGCACCACTGCCGAGAAGGTGCTTCGCAGAAACTTCGACACAGTGGCCAAGGGAGGGCGGAACTGGCTTCTCAGGCTGCAAACCGAGACATTGAGTATTGTCTCCTTGTCACCATCCTTCAAGAGGTTCGACCACCTGTTTGTTGCACAAACAATTGACAATCAATCTCACTTCTCTGTCATGCTCAAGAAGATGCTGGCACACTACTTTCAGCTGAGGATTCACCACATGTGCCGGCAGCAAAGTGCCGAGGAAAGGGGAGTGCCCGTCCGGCAATACTTCAACAAGCTCGTGCTCTTTCGTGGACAATAACTAAACCTGTGCTACATTTGCCATCTGAGCCTGGCTTCTGTTTGCAAAACACCATTTATGAAGACTTGGCGCCACATATCAAAAGACTTGGCTTCTCACGACAAGAATCGTCCAGTTTCTTTCCAACTACCGACTTTTTTCATTTTGTTTATTTATTTTAAGTATCCTAAGAGCCCTGGGGTTAGGGTATTGCATAATGGAGTGATTTAATAAAATATTGAGCTTAATATGTCACGAAAGGAGTCAATGTCTTGGAGGGAAACAGTGGCTTCAGACAGGCCATTAAAGTCGACAGGCCTGTTGAGAGGAACAGTGATCAATGCGAGGGAATATCCGATGCGGTGGCAAGATGAATAAATCATGCAGGAATTAAAACCTATGATGGAGACAAAGTTTACTAATATGCCTATATGAACACAGGGGAGTTTGAAAAAAAAAACTGCATTTAAGTTGCATTTAAGTTTAGTGATGCTACCAAACCTAAAATGTAGAATAAAGCGAGTACTAGCCCGATTCTGAACCAAATCCGGATTGGGCAGGGGCGGATTTAGAGGGGGGGTCCGGATATCCTGACCCCCCCCCCCCCCCTCTTGATTTCTGCATGCGTAAAATTTAGGGCGTGAAACGAGGGAGAAGGGGAGGGGGTTCCTAAAGATATGGTACGCTGACCAACACCTGACCCCCCCCCCCCCCCCCCCCCTCCTCAGGAAATTCCTGCATCCACCCCTGAAATTGGATGAGAGACATTTAACATGTGGCTCCCACACCGAGGACGCATATTCTAGTTTTGGTCGCACTATTTCAACATAAGCAAGGCAGTTGACAGATGAAAAAACCAGACGGAGGTTACAGCATAAGAAATCAAGGATGCGCTTTGAATCAGAAAACGGCATTCCAGAGAAGGTAGCGAGAGAAATGTACAAGACATTCACAGTGCAAGACAGATTCCATGTCAAGGTTATATATAGTATGGTGTCCGTAGCGTGTTTCCAACCGGTGTGTTTAGCGTCCTATGCTGCCCATACATCAAAAGTGGTCCCAAAGTGGCAACAAATGACGTCACAGAAGCCAAAGTGTCATGCTGTTGCATGTCGTGATTCTGGCGGTTGGTCGTAGAAATGCTAACGAAAAGGCTGCGAGTAGAACAACCGAACACGAGTGTCGCTGTCGTCAGGGTGTCCCAACTTCTAGCTGCCAAAACTTCCGTGGACTGCAACACTGAAGAGCGACCTGCAGCAAAACAGGCGTCCGTCACGTTCACCCGCGCTGCTGTGACACTGCCAGGATTGCGGCCGGCAACAGCATGACGCTTGTATGACGTCACCGAGAGGAAATTGAGGGACCACTTTTTCAGAATCGGTAAACACACCAGTCGGAGACGCATCGCAGGCAGCATGCTAATGGAGTAAGCAGTGAACAAATGTCGGCAGATATTTTGATGTGTAACTAACCATTACTTAGGTCTACATAACTTTCAAAGTTACATTAAGTTTTGTGTGGTTGATATGACTCTGTAAATGACACAGACATAAGAAGAAAAGAAAAACACTAAAAGACAAGGATAGGGCAAGTTTTTTAAAAAAAAATCACAAAAGGGAGCAATGGTTCAACTAGATGTCTTTCTGGTACGCCAGAAGCTACAGGAGTGCCTCTGGAGTGACATATGTGTAAGGATGCTTTCGATCCATGCCAGTGTAGAGAAAGTGCGGAGACTTTTGTTAGTAGTCGCTTCTGAAAGACGTCACTGAAAGCTAAAGGCACTATATTGGACAGGGACAGCAGTCCCTGCAGACTATTTTCTCTCACGATCCAAATGACCGCTCGAACAAAAGCAAGAGTCAAAGAAGATGCTGACAGAGCCCCGAGAGAAAGTCATAAAAAGAGAAGCAAGCATGCCTCGTGAAGCGCAGAAGTGCTTTGCTGCAATGGCACCAGACCTAGGTGAGTATGATGCCTTCAGCGTACTCAGGAGGCTGAAGATGGGTCACCCTTGAGAAGGTTGATGGTCAGCCTGCGTCGCTTCGGTGTCCAGCCGTCCGTGCAATGTCACGACCTGCCTCCACCGTGTCGACCGTAGCAAACAGGCAAAAAGACAGCACGTGGCCGTCCCCGGAACAGCTGTGCTTGGTGAAAGACACTGTAACAACAGAGTTACAATCCAGCATTATGCTGTCTCGGCTGCTCTGTACCAGAGAACAAAAATCTGTGAGCCCCTTGTTATTTTCCTGCACTTGACACCAGCAGTGGTTGAAGGACTGCACTTGTGTCTGCGGATGCCCAGTCCTTCTGTAACAAGACGGCGCAACAGCTGTAGCGCTTGCTGGTATCCCGGAAAAAGCTGTATCCGAAAAAAAGAGACATAAAGTGGTTTCAGGTGTAACCGTTCACAAGCTTCGACGCGAGCGAGTAAGCACTGTCTTGAGAACTTTGACCAACGACATTGGTTTCCATCAACTATTCTCAGCCGTGTTGACACCTACAGACGACTACCGGCGCCTTGCAAGCAGAGAATTAACGCTGTGACTAAAGGTAGTTTGGACGTACCCGGAAGGCATTCCTTATATACGTTGGACATACTCGGCCGATTTTTTCAAAGGTACGTCGGACGTATGCGCGGTAGAGACCTTATATATGAAGACGGCGCCTGGTGTGCGCCGAGGGCTCAGGACTCCGAGGACCATGCTTACAAATCACAGCGCGAACTTACGGTAGCAGTGCCGTTCCCCACGGGCACGGCAACCTATAGCAACCTAATATGGGTCGGACGTAAAAGAAAATCGGCCGGGAACGTCTGACGTGATCAACCGTATCCTCGAGCCTTAGTCACGCGAAAGCACCAAAACCTCTCACGCATTCATTCTCGGCTTCCAATCGCAGACACTCCATATGCCCTGCGTACCTATCCTTAAGAGCAATGAACATTCCGCAGGTCGAGTGCAGAGAGAATGCAAAACTTTCATGCGAGATATCCACGCGATGTTTGACATGTACTACGACCGATTCGGATCGGTGCCCATACCTGGTTAGATCTTGTGCCATACGTTCATACCCGGCTCTATTCGTTCATCGTCTGCCTAGCCAAACATAGCACGCATGGAGATTTTCCAATCTCCCACAGCACGATCATCGCGGTTCAATGCGACTCGCACCGCCGTTGCCGCCGTCGCCGCACCAGCCGCCCCCGACCAGCTCGCACACGCACACACTCGCGCTCGGCTCGGCTACAGTGGCTCCCATTCAGGCGGCCGTGTCGCCGTGTTCCAAAATTTACTCTATCTCACACTTGGGAAAAGGTCTTGTACCCGTTGCGTTCAAAAACCTACCCGCGTCAACCTGTCTTGTCACGTGACTTGATTCGCCGGAATAACTCGGGTCTATTTGAGTAAGATTGGAACACATCCCCAGAGTGCCCATCTGCTGACCGTGATCTGGCCAATCTGATCTGACCCACCTCTGGGCGCAGCCATCTTTAAGTCACGTGATCACTAATGTGGCAAACAGGCAAGATGGCGGCAATCGGGGGGGTGCCATTTTCGGCTGCTGGTTTACCGCTCTAAGTTTACTCAAGCTCGTTGGACCGGAGGCCGTCAAGTCCTCAAAGTGTGATACTGTGCTTTGCAAGAGCTGGTTCTCTTGTCGAGCGTATGAGGCTTCGGCTTGCTCCAGGTGGTTCGAGAAGAGTACCAAGATTTGGGAGGCAGTAGGATTCGAGGCGCCCGGATTTCTGGTGCTGTTGGTACTTGCCGTGCGGTCCCCTTCAGGAGTGGAGACAGGTTCCATCCTCGGAAGGAGGAGTCTGCCGGGACAGAGATCACACTTCTGACACCAAATGAAGCGTCTTCCGCTTACGAAACTGTTTGTCAGATCAGGCGTCCGCTTTTTGATCCTGCCGCATGCTCTAACCCCCCGAGCCCCCTCGTTCTCTTCATCCTCGCTACAATATTAAGAGAATCTATAACCAGATTCACAATATTACTAAGTAGGTTTGTTCTTGGCCAGAACTAGCTGGGAATGTGTAACTTTGGCTTACTCAGAGTCAGATAACCGAATGAAGTTGGGGCGTCGGAGATGGTCAGAAATGGACGGGGCACCCCGCTCCTAGGACCAGCAAACAAAATCATTTTTTGTTGCTGAACTGCAGTCAACCAAGCGCTGAAGATTAGACTGAGGCAGATGAATTCAAAAACCGTTTATAAAAAAACAGCCTGCAGGGCTTGACGGTAATATGAGCAGCCACCAGCCCCAAACTCGGGCACTGCGCTTTGCGCTGCTTCACCAGCGCCCACCCTTTTTCTTCTTCTTTTTCTGTGCTGGCAGCGGTCTCTGTTGCCTGGGTCCCAGCTGTGGCTGTGCGCCGGGCGATGGCTGGGATCCGGGGGCAGGGCTCTGCAGCTGGGTGGTCCTCTGCGTGGCATCCCTGGCACACCGAACAAAAACCTCATGAAGTACTGAGCTAGACGACACTAAGGTCATTCTAAAATAAAAGTATTCATTCTTACGCAAAATGTGCAACATTCGTGTCGTGTGCAAATCCTGGGAAGAAAAATGCGGTTTTATTAGCCCCAAACGGGACTGATTAGAGCACTGCATTCACTCGATGGTGACATAGTGACCAGCATCACGTGACGGGGCCAGGTATTTTCTCCGCTTTGCTTGGCTTTGGTTTCGTTGAAACTCTCGTCCAAAACAGCGAATTAAACGTGAATTATGAACAATATATCTAAACCTCCATGCTACCAACGAAGCGCAGAAGCAATCACGTGATACTTGTTCCTACGTCGCGATGAGAAGCCGTTAGGTGGCGCCACTCCATGTTCTCGAGGCTAATAAGTGAGTTCAGCACTGTGCTGCCATGTTCTTTTCAAGAGAGCACAAGGCATGCAAATCGGGCATTGGGATGCTTACCGCTATTTTCAAGCTCGTCAATCGGCTTTAGACAAGATGACTGACGGCGCCACACAGTGGAAAACACTTGGAAAAAGCGACATTATCAAACACTTCTTATTAGTCCGAATACTCCTCTATCGTTTTTCAGTTAACTCAAAAATTGTGCCCTGTACAGTCTAAGCTCGTTATAACAGACTTTGATTTTGACCAAGATTTCGGTCTGTTATAAAAGGAGTATGTTGTATGCAGCTATGAAGTTGAGTCAGTGGTATGTAGAGGAAAACCAACCAAACTTCACAAATCGGTGTGTTATATCCAAATGTCTGTTGTAACCAGGTCTGTTGTAATGAGCTTAGACTGTATTTACTCCTATATGTATGTTTTCTTGCACAAGTATACAAGCTATATGCAGTATAGGGTGTTTATCAAAACACAGACCAAATCGCTCTAGCAAAAAGTATGCATTGCAAAGAAAAAAAGTTGATGTCCTATTGGCCAAAGAGCCTATTTAGAAAAATGTTAAAGTTAGGTGTCATTAAGTTCTCTCTTACTTTTACATACCTGCCAACCTGTGGACTTTCAAATTCGTAAAACTCCCGCGGCGGGGGGGGGAAGTAGTAAGAGGCAGGCACTTATCCCTGGTGTTTACGCGAAGCGAATCGTGCAGCTTAATGTCAGCCTTGCCACCGTGCGAAACGCCTACATCACATGTGCACGTGCGACATTAATCCAAACTTCTCTCCCTTCTTGGACGGCACGAAGCACGGGAATACCAATGTGTAGGATTTCAGGAACACCTGAAAGTACCTCTTTTGAGGGTTGGAGTTTGCCATTGCGCCACGAAGCCACCGCGACTAGGGAAATGTTCACACAGACACCGCTCCGCTTGCCATGAAACTAGCCAAAACAGCGAGGCCCAACACGCCAAACCAACGTGTGCTGCCGAACACATGAACAAAGGCTTTGAGCTTTGGATTGGTTTTAGATCCGTGGCCACCTGATAGACGAAGAGTCAAAACTACGACGCTGCCGTGGACGGTACCTACTATGCTCTTGTACCGCCAGCCACAATATAAAAATAAATGTAAAAAAAACAAAAACTTTTTCATAAAATTTGAAGCAAGATTTGTAAAATCGTAAAATTAGTCCCAATTCATACATTTAATGACAAATTCGGAAGAGTTGGCAGGTATGTTTTTAAATAATCAACCCTTTAATGGTCGTGTTTTCTTTCCAAAAGATGTTTCCCAGTGGTTGGGTTTTGTCTCCAAAGAAATAGTATAAAGAAAGGGTCAAAGCAAAGATTTTTTGTAGCGTGAGCTACACTGGCCGAGCTTGAGCAGTTTTGCGTGACTGTCAAAGAGCCGTGCTGCGCAAGCGCGAGGAGCAGTGACGTCACACGGCGCACAGCTGGCGTGCCAAAGCCGCCGCGTGCTCTGCCGCCGTTGTGCGCGCCTCGCCGGTCTGCGCATGCGCGAGGAGCAGCGACGTCACACGGCGTACAGCTGGAGCGCCTAAGCTACCGCCGCCGCGCGCTCCGCCGGCACCACGGCATACGCACTGGCGCCGCTGCGTGCCCAGCTGTGCGCCCCCGTTGCGCAGTAGCCAAGTCTGACGCTGCACCTAAGCCGCTTGATAGCGCCTCTCATTTTGTCCGCATAAGCTCACGCTACGTATATCCTGGCATAGCCGAGCTAAGCCACCGCAATTTTTTTTTCTTGCTTTTCTAGCTGGAGCATATAAAGTGGCTAGTGATATGAGCTCAAATGAGGGAGCAACGACCAAGCAGTACAGCCCATGCAGTCTAACGGGCAGCGAGCCAAACAGCGAAATGGCAGTAGCGGTCTTCAGATTCACGGACGCACCCCACGCGTGTGGCATCTCCCTCCTCCTCCTCCTCCTCCACAACTGTGCGCATGATAGCAACAATCCCTTTTGATAGCGACGTGTGTGTTATTAGATGCGTGCTCGCCCTCGCGGCCGCAGTGCATAGGAGAACGTCACTGCAGCGAGCAGGCATCTGGTGCGCACGCTATGCACACGGCAAAGAAGAAGGGAGATATCGCACGCAGGGGTGCGTCCATGAATCTGAAGACACTGCTGCTCCACCGCTTGGCTTGCTGCCCGCCAGACAGCGTGGGCTGTACTGCTTGGTTACCACTCGTGCGTTTCAGCTTATATTGCTAGCCACTGTACAGTGCTTGCAATCTGTTCCGGTTTAGAAGCCTCAAGTGGAAATATTGAAGGTGACAAGTTGTCACCTTTCGTCTACTGAAAACAATTTAATTTTCGCGAGGACCCAATTTTCGTGAATTTCGTGAATCGCCTACAATTTGCGAAAAATAGGTCCCGCAAACAATTCCGGTAAAATGTAAACACATTGGAATCTATATTGAGATTCCACCACGTTGCGAAAATTAGAACCCGCGAATTATTCCAAAACTTCAGGTTCGAGCTAAATCAAGAAATATTGAGCCCGCGAAAAAAAAAGCTCGAGGTACACCTAAGCATTTCTTGAGTTGTGAATGCAAAAGCATGCAAGCCGCTAGTCCGCTCCCTTTGTTGTCCGCTGCATACTTACTAGCGCGCGTGCGCTTCGGGATCTTGGAGGCCATGGCGCAGCGGCCAATGGGAGCCCCGTCGACGCGCGCCAGCCAATAGAACCGAACGCGATCACGGAAACTAGGAGCCGTTTTCGCGCTTCAAACTGATGACATCAGCTCGCTCCATGAGACAGTTAATGCTTTTGCATTAACAAGTCGTTTAGAGTAGTCTGCTTCATTTTGGCGCACCCGCTTCTGCGACATTCCGGAAACTTCAGATTCCAAACCAGAGGTACTTAACAGAGCTTCTCAATTGGATGGTAAGCTCTCATTTCCTGACTTTGATTCTGAGAGCCGTCAAAACTCGGAACCGGAAGAGCTGGCATTCCAATTGCCACTACCGCCAGAGCAGCCAACATGCAAAGCGATCATCTCGTGCATATCACGTGCGCGAGCGTCTAATTTCAGAACTAAATACTTTTAGCAGGATGAAACACTGTGTGAATATAATGTTTATAGTTCATCAAAAACAGAACAAATAGCAACACCTCCCGCGGTGCTCAGTTTCGCGTTTAGGCGGGCACTTTCAATAATGCAATCGCCACCATGCATGTATGGTGACGACTGCCAAAGGGTTAACTTTTAATTTGTAAATTTAAAGGCGTGGCTTTAATTAGAAACTTTGTGGGCATCATTGAAAACAACTAAATCAGTGCACCTTACAAACATATATGGCAAGCAGAGCATTTTACAGCATTCCTGAAAAACATTCAATTTGGACGCGTTTTTAAGTTTTGGTTTTCTATGAAAACGCTACCTCTGCGCCAGCAGTCCTGCTCCCCCGTGGCTAAAACGAGCGACTAACGTGCACCACCATGCATCCTTCGAATGGCAAGGTGAACCCAGGAATCAAAGCTTATTCTTGTATTGTCATTGAAACTCTCCTACAAGGGAGGTGAGGCTGTAGTTGCGCACTTTGGCCATGGGCAGCAGGACCACTGGCGCAAAGATGCTCCGACAGATAACTGAAACCAAGAAACGAGTCCAAATTGTGTTTTTTTTGGAATGCTGTAAAATGCTGTGCATGTCTTCTATTTTCGTAAGGTTAGCTGATTTACCTAGTGGTTTCCCATGATGGCCAGAAAATTTTGGACTGAAACCATACTCTTAAATTTACTAACTAAAAAGTTAATTACTAAAACAAAAATTAAGAATCTAATTGCACCAAATATAGTCTTTTTGGAAGAAACCAATAAGACATCAACCTTTTTTCGGTGCAATGCATATTTTTTCAAGGAATGATTTGGCCCACCGTCTGAGGAACACTGTGTATAAATACTATATGAATATGTTTCTCGTGAAGAACTCGCACCTCTTGACGGCTCTTCGAAATGAATCATTATTCCTAGGCCTGCCCTCTTTCTTTATCTCCTTATTGGTGCCACTAGTCACGACTTGGATATCCAGTCTCGAGATTGGATATTACATTAAACGACAACAGGTGTTCATTTTGTATTTAATGATTTTCAGTGTCCCTTTAGAGCAACACTAAAATGAGTTATCAGTTTGCATTTAGCAATTAATATTTGCCAATGGTGGTACTTTAACACGTATGTGAAGAAAGATAAGTGTTTAAGAGGAAAATACTGACCAAACAGCTCGAGATATGTGTTCAAGATTTTCTAAAACCCACCCATAAAAGCTATGATAATTTTTAACACATACATAAAAAAAAAAGGATATTTGTTGATAGAATTTTAAAATATAGAAATCAATCCTCACATATTCAAAATGGCCACTGTGGAACATAGTAAAAATAAATTTTAGGGGTTTGAGCACTCAACCAAGGAAGGCCATCTGGCATGCCCTAGACGAGGACCCAGGATTAAGCTGGACCATCGGGGGATCTTTTGATACGTAACCAAAATCTGTGACATGGTGCCTACCTTACAATATCTACAATAAGCCTCCGTCAGATTGTGGGCTTCTCGGATGGAATTCAAACTTGCCAGCTGAGGACCTGTAGGTTGGCGTGCCTCAGAGCCATCAACATGTTAAATTCTAACCGTAAAATCCTGTAAGGACGTCTACCCAAAATGAAGGGAAAAACGGTGAAACATTTGGGGTAGGCTATCTTTGGGGATGTTACATCAAAATGTTATAAAAAAATTTGTGACAAACATGTGGGTTTGTTCCCCCCCTTCCCCCCCCCCCCCCCCTTCCCCCCCCCCCCCCCCCTACAACCACGACACAGACACAGATACCGCAGATTGCGGATGCACTAGATTCATGTTTTACAGTGTGATAAACAGACGGGAAATCACTACAAACTCGCATAGCACGGGAACGGAAACTGCAAACTGCAGATGCACAAGATTTGTGTTTAAGAGTACGATAAACACGCGGGAAACTGCTACAAACTCGCTTGTCACATGTACTGGTATCGCAGATAGCGTGGTTGATGAGATACCAATCAAACATCACGTGATGTCAGACGGGAATTGGGGGCTGGGTGATGTTTCAGCATTTTTATATAATGAATATTTGGCAAAACAAACAGGGTGGGCGATCTCTCAGGGGAGGGCGTTCATATGGGATTTTACGGTAGCTTGTTTCCCGCAACCAACCCATAAAAGGAACTGTGTGCGGGGATCTTGCTCGGCAACTTACTCGTCTACCTTCAATGCAGTCGCGCGTGGGGGTATAAACGAGCCTTCCAGATATAACAGCGCAGGTGCTTCGACTGGTCACTGCTTCAGATAAAGCATCCTAGCCTGCCACCTTCTTTGCAACCTTCCACACCAGGCTTTCTTAGGACCTCAACTCCATAAACTATGAAAATGAAAATTGCACTCACACTTCTGAAGCTGATCCAACAGCTCCTTGAGTCCCCTTGCCTGAAACAGGCAAGAACAGCATCAAATAATGTTCATAAAAAAAAAAAATGTTGGAAGCAAGTGTGGAATGTCTCAAGCTTAAAGCAAAAGTAGTTCCTTTATTGTCACGAAAAGGATATTACCGATGCCACTGGCAGCACCCCTTCTGTCCTTGCGCTTTTTGTAGGTGGACCGCTCGTGCCGTGGCAACCAGCGTTCTGGATCCGGATCCACGTTGGGGTCAAAGTTCTTTGGCAGCTTGCCTGCACAGTGTCATGACAGTTGCTTAGGGCATTGAGAGTGTCCCAGTACCTTGATCTAGCCCTGTTTATCATACAATAGAAGAGTGAGAAGCAGAGACGCTCGTTTTAGGCTAAACCCAGAGTGGTCAGATGAGTATATCGAGCTGCAGTAAAAAGGGGGCGTAGCAGTTCCTGTTTTTATTTATTTAATCTCATTTGGTGGCCACAGCGAATTCCACTCGCAAAGCAATTTCTCATCATGTCACCGACACTGGTTATTCAGTTGGTCCGAATTCTATATCGCTTTCCTTCTGATCCTGCGAGGGGGTTAGGAGGTGTGCTTCCCCAGAGCAGTATATGGGGAGAGTTTTGCCAGTCAATGATCTCGCTGCCAAAACATCCCCACCTGAGTGAGCCAATCAGCCCGCGGCGCAGAGCGAGAGGCGTGAGCGCATGCGCGTTAACTCTCGGCTGTTCCCAGTTGAGAGGGGAGGGCCGCCATTTCCATTCATTCACCCGGCGGAATGCGTGGGACCAACGTCCGAATTTCAATTCTTTCCTTTTATTTGGCAGACTCTGACAAGAAAATTATATAGTGTTATTAGAGCGCAGCTCTTAGTCGCCAGTTTCCGGCTTGAGCGGCGTCGCCGTCGGTGTAATTGCGCGTAACTCTCGTGAGGGTTACAAGGGTTAGTCTCACGAGGGTTACACTCACAAGGATCACGAGGGTTACCCTCGTGAGAGTAACCCTCATAACCCTCACGAGGGTTACAAGGATTAGCTACCCTCAAAAGGGTTACCCTCACGAGGGTCACCAGGGGATGAGAGTTACCCTCATAAGGGTCACGAGGGTTACCCTCACGAGTGTCATGAGGATTATCCCCCGAGGTCACGTGATTTCAGAGAGTCACCTATCCCTCAGTACCCTTCCATCCTCTTCCTCAAGAGCTGCGCTCTAATCCGGCGTTACAGGGAGTTGTAAACGGCTTTAATTTTTTTGTCGGTGGCTTAAAAAGCTAAAAGATGAAGCTTCTCCACGTTTGAACGCAAACCTTGATTCAGGCAAAAAAAAAAGAAACAAGCCCATAGCAGACGACGTATAACCTCAACAGTGCATTGCGCCGACAGCGTTGCGTCAAAATGGCGGTCGTCTCCTCCTTTGCTACCTTCTTCCTCTCTTGCTCCTTCGACGCTCTCCTTCCTTTCCTTCACTTTTTCTCTCTTTGGCGCCTTCGTCGCCACACCCACTGGCCAAACTCTCCCAATATACGGCTCTGTGCTTCCCAAAGACCTGTGAGCCGCACTTGGACCCGCAAAGAGCCACAGTTTGGCCATTCCGGAGCTAAACGTTGATCCCGTGTTCAACCAAATACCACATTTATTCGAACATAGGTCAACCTTTTTACAGCAAAGCTGCTAAAGGCTAGTTTCCCCAGGATCGTGTCCGGTACCAAACAAATGTCGACACCCATGGTCGACAACACACTGGTTGCCGCCGTCGCTCATAGATGGCGGTAGCTGCCCAGAGTGTTGCGTTTGCCGGCTGTCTGCTTGCCGCCGTCGCTTATAGAACGCGGCAATCTTTCTAGCCTCGGCAACCAGACAACTGGTTGCTGCCATCGCTCATAGATGGCGGCAACATTTCTTCGGGGGAAAAGGGCGGGAACGGGACGAGCGGCAATGTGCACAGCAGTGTGAATGGTTCCGCAACCGCCGTGAGGCCGCTATCGCCTAAAGTTCCACTGCGTCGAACGCTTCAGATTCCCTTGCAAAAGAAGGGTAGATCGCTCGCCTGGAAAGTCACCACCGAGAACAGAAACTACAGCAACGCCTCTTCCTTCTTTACCAGAGTGGAAAGGCTGAAAGCTTTTTATGAACAGACCTGTGTCTACTTTCCCGCTGAACCCACAGAGACCAATAAGTAAGACTTACGAAAGGAGCCATAGAATGGTGAAGGAAAGATAAGGTTTGAAATAAAAAAATAATGCAATCCACACAACAAATTTCTGTGTTCCTACGTTATCGGTGCCTTGTCATTCGCTGGCCGTCTTCTGTAAAACACAATGATTGGCTCTTGTTGAACGTTGCAGAGAAATACATGCACAGGCTCTGTTCGTAAAGCAATCAACCTATTTTCGAACAAATACGATATAGCTTGATTTGTAGAGACTTCACAAGTAACATTTCGTATGCAACAGCTTCTTCAGTCATTGTGAAATGCAGTGCAATGGGGGAGACACGTTGTAGAAATCACACCAACTAGTCTGTTGCACGACAAAGAGCCAGACTGGTGCGAGACAGAGGCACATGCACAACAAAAGGAGACTTCATCATACGCTTTTAGCAACACCAACTAAGCAGCCGACGTCGACTGCCCATAATCTGAAGTCACCTATGCTCATCAAAATTTTCCACAAAGCGACGGTTCAAGTGTGAAGCTACCGAATGAGAGCAAAGAAAAAGTGCTCGTAAAGACCAGTCGGTGCAAGATTCCCGAGCTCAACTTTCACAGAAAAAAATCGCAGTCCTGTGTTAACCCACAGTACAGAGACAGCGATAGCTCTGACACGTCGCGGCAAAGTCCTTGGACATCAGCGTCGCGTTCACGTAATGTGGGGTGCGTAAATAAAAGCGTTCGGAACAAAATAGACAACTGTTTTGTTTCAAACGCTTTTGTTTCGTTCCATTTTGTTCCGGAGTGCGTGAAAGTGCATCTCCCGGCACGAGCTCTTGGCATTGACAGTGCTACGACGGCATTTTGTTACAGGCTATTTCTTTTTTCCAGAGAGTGTGTGCAGAGGGCATTGGGTACTACAAAAACCTCAAGTTTAGAGCGGGTTATTAACGCTGCGGCGTAGCTCAGCGGCAGCACCTCCGCTTCACACGCAGCGGACCCAGGTTCGATTCCTGCGAGCGGCAGGCAACATTTCTCAAGGATTTGGCAACACTGATAACGGACGACCTCCATCGCCAACTACAACATCAACAACAAATGTAATTTCGAGTGGTGGGAAAGGCCCATAACAGGCTAGCGCTATAGAGTTTGGCCCTGTCAAAAGAGAGGGTCACCAACCCTTCTTCTTCTTCTTTTTCTTCTTGACAATGTCCTGGGCCCGGCTCGCTGGCGAGGCCTCTGCCTTGGTCACCTTCTTGACGTAGCGCACGCCCATAGTCCATGACGTTGTTTCCAACGTGTCCACGTCCACCTGGCGCGTTATCTCCTCTGCTGGCGGAAGGTCCATGCTCACCCTAAGCATCGGCCCGTCAAGGAAACTCTGCGGGAGGTGTCCGCTTGGCACCCTTCTCTCATGAAAACCGGGACACCGGATGGTCGTGGAGTACCTAAAGTCTCCAGACCTTAGTTGCTGTTGCCAAACAGCACAACTGCTGAGCTGGCATCAAAATAAATCCATTGTATGCAGCAGCCTCTAGACACAAACTATATGCATTCTATGTGCTCATTCATCCAGAATGAAGTCAGCACAATCAAAAGCAACGCATGTGCAAGGCTGAAACTTCAAAAAAGACTACACTTTTGGGCATGATACAATAAAGAGTAGTAGCGTACCTCGCAGAAGAAACGCAACGTGAATTGGAACAAAAGTTATACAACTGTGGAAACCTTCGTTTTCATGAGCCCCTAGTTTTTACAAATTCTGCAACGAGCCGAATTCCCACAATTTAAGATACACAGAAATTGCCAATTCTATTTCCTCTTTTGCTACTTCCAAGGCTCGGAACCCCATTGTGCTCAACCTGTGGCGAGGTCGACTAGGCACATTACGCATCGCCTAGAAATTATTTCTTTCGTGTCCTTCGTTAGGGGGTGTGAATGTCCAGTCTGGGTAAAAATGGAAAGTTGATTGGAAAAAGCAAAGAGAGCCTCAAAAATACACTTTTGGCAAAATCCAGCATACGTAAGCAAGAATGAATATCTGCTCCGCCCTTTATAAGTGCCAAGTGTGTATTAGTCGACATAAAAAAAAAACCAAAAAAACATGCCCTGTTTACCTTCACAAACTTTAAAGGGATGCTGAACCGAAATCCGGATTCCATAAAGCATAGCGCAAAAGCGTGCAACGGGTTGCTAAAAACATCAATACATCACTCATGCAACGATAAATCGAACGGATGACTGTATTTTTCAAAAAAAGGAGGCACTTTTGACAGATATGTTCACGTCTTGTTTCTCTGAGAAGAGAAGGGAACTACTTTGCATCTTTTCCGCCTCGCCGCCTTGAGGAGGCGAAACGAAGAGAGGAGGAAACGAGATATCTTGATGTCACGTGCCTCGTTGGTCTCATTCAAGCTCAACCTTTTTTTTTTTTTTTTTTTTTCCAACAATACGGCCATCGATTCGAGATATCGCCTTACGAGTAATGCTTCAGGGATTGTAGTGTCCCGCCTACAGCTCCTGCATTGTTTTTTTAAATCCTAATTTCGGTTCACCTTCCCTTTAAAGGAAGCATGCATCACTTAACAAGCTCTCTTTAGAGCAAACATTTACTGGCAAAAACAGCTATTTAATGTTCACGAGACATACAATGTTTCTTTTCGAATTGCGCCACATTCATTACCACACTTTTGGCTCGCTGCGACGGAACTCACAGAGACGTATGTGAAGAGAAACCAAGAAGCCACACACTGAGGCTTATTCTCAATACTACGAGACTATGCCTTAGGAAGTTCCGAAGTGGTAGATTTCGGCACTTCACGAATACTCCGAGTTCCCGAAGCCACCCACTCGTCCCACCGCCACGTGACCAAGGATACTGCTTGGCCTTCTTGGGATCAAAGGCAGAGTAGGCCGAGATGAGTTGGGCCAAGATCTTGGGGTCATGCGGGTCCGCCTTGCGCAGTTCCTCCAGCATGTTGGCCGCCTCCTGAACCCGGCCATTGGCCAGGTGGAACTTGGCACTCTCCCGCGTCACAAGGTTCAGCTCCGATGAGCGCGGCTGTAACAAGTACCCGCCCCGTGACGTTAAGAGACAAGGGCACCGCAGGCCGAGAGAGGACCAACCGCAGTGCAGCACACTTTTGCACTCACCTTATTTTTCTTGTACCACGCGATGGCATCTGCGAAGATGGCGGCGACCGCCTCCTTGTCTTCCAGACTCTTGTACAAGGTTACGAGAGCGGCAATCTGTCGAGAAAAAGTGCCACTGTAAATGCCCTGGAGGGTAATGCCCCAAGGTAAAACTGTAAATGATTTGCGTTTCGCGTTAAGGTTTCTGCAAATTCCGCAGCTAGAAAACAATTGCAAAACTTTGTCAAGCGAATAGATCATCAAAACACGGGGTCGAACGGCCAGTTTACTACCAATCGAGAAATTTAATTCTTAGAAATTTCCTGAAAGTTCTGGCTAATTTGTAAAGTATTAAGCCCACAAAAGTGGCCTCTACGGTAATACAGTTGAATCTCGTTAATTCAAACTCTCTTAAGGAGGGATGTGGGACTTGAGAGCACTTTACTTTTATCAAAGAATACTTATATTATACACTGATATTAACACATCTCGCACCTATTCCAAATATGCAATCAGATATTGAATATCTTTACTAATATCCGAGTTATGGAAGATCGGTCTAATTAGATTAGGTCATTTGTTAAGGGTCGTTAAAGAAAAATTATTCGTAAATTATAAAATTTTTTAATGCAACTGCATTCACAAAGGTGTAATTTCTGTGGTGATGCTTTTTTAGATCTTACCTGAGAGGGTTATGTTACTAAAAAAACAATTGTAATTATAGGGTAAAAGACATGCTTTCTCGTTATTTAAGAAAGTAACTAATTGGATAGAACTCTTTAAGTTGGAAGACTATAAAAATAGCATCACCACACAGCTCCATTCTTCCCAATTAAAATGGCACCAAGTGTGTTAAAGGGATACTTCAACGAAATTTGAAATATTCCCGTCGTGTTCAAAAATAGGTTCAATATGATCCACAATATCCGTAAATGACAATTGCGCGTTTGTATTTTGAGCCTGGTTGCTGTATTTTTCGTTATAAACGGCCCACTCTGGCAAGCGCTCAGAGAAGGCCCAGCGAAGAGCACGTGACATCCAACGCAATCGTGACGTAGGTCGTCTCAAGACGAGCAAAGCTACGGCGAGGCTGACGTCAAGAGGATGGCCTAGTCGTTCCAGCCACCGAAGCGGCTGCTTTTGTATGAATTTTGAGTGACGGGTTAATCTTCTGTAATCTTGTAGGGGGACAATAGCTACTTCTGCGACACACAAAAGGCATTCTCGGGAAGAGGGGAGTTCCTCCTGCCCCTCTTCTCTCGTCATGGCCGGAGACGAGACAACCTCCGTCACTAGCTGTCAAGGTTCCTAGACGGGCATTACAAGCGAGGCGTTAGCGACATCCACCAGGTGCTCTTTGCTAATCGTTTAATTCGTTTTAAAATTCCTTTTCGTGACTTTTTTAGCAAGATATTGGTATGTTCGATGTGATGCTGCTCCTTTGAACAAATATAGACCGAAAAATGAGTGCCGAAATTTCGTTGTAGTATCCCTTTAATATTGTCCAAGACAAACTTCATGAAACACCTGTAGGGCGTTGGTACTTGTGAAAGAAGTGTGAAGAAAGAAAAAATCACTTGAAGTATGTGTATTCCTACTGAATGTTTATAAAAAAATTATGATTTCATTTTTTTTTTTTCATATTGGAAAATTAGATAGAGCAATATTATTTTCTACAGAGCTGGGTAGGTATGTCTAAATATCAGAAATGCCGTTTTCTCAAAAATGACTTTTTTCCAACTTCGAAAAGCTCAGCTTTTCGAAAAAAATGAGTTAATGGTTGATTTTGACGTGTTTGTGCCTGCCGAGTCAAAATATCACAACCCTTTGACCCAAAATAATCACTAAATGCAAAACAAAACCGAAGAAAACAGAAATGATCGTTGCAGCAGCACGCCACTGGCTAGTCACGCGTGACGTTCCACTACGTCCATAAGAGGTCCATCTCGATTCTCGCTTGCACTGTCGCTTGCGGAAGTAGTCGGGCATTGAGGCTTCTGCTCTTGTAAATCGGGTTCGGCTTCTGATTTTTCGAAATCTTTCGGTGGATTCGAAACGAGAATGCGTCCAGGGGACCCTCGACAGGAAAAGTATGCCTTCCAGCCGTTGGCAAAGATGAAAAATTACCCTCTACGGTAATACGGGCAGACACAAAGAATCGCTTGCGCCGATGCGACATGGCCGGCTTCATACATTCTGGAAGATACTGACTGCTACTTATTGTAACCTAAAACGTTGACAATAAACGGAGTACTATTGACGGAACGAGTCAGGCCAGATTAGCGTGACACTCCCTAAAACGGCCATCACAGGACAATAATTCGGGACACATCGGCCTTCGTGCTTGGCAGCTGGTGGACACGCAAACATGCAGGCTGCATCGTTCACCAAGGCTGAAGTGGGTTGAAGGGATAGTATAATCGGCTTTGGGTGACGGCAGAGCTTTCCGAGATAAGACGGGCGATGACACAGGGTCGTCGTTCTGCCACTGCGACCCATCCTTGTGATAACGGTACCTTCTGCTGCGTTTTATTTGTTTGCCAACAATTACTGTGCAATTACAGCTTTAGGAAAAGCGGAGATGTATGCGCGGCAGCCCTCAGTTTGATGTTGAATTCGTGAAAGCTTCCTCGTCCTCTAAAGTCACACACACCTCCTAAGATTTGTTGACTGCATTAAACCAGAACCAAGCATTATCATCGTCCGATCGCATTTCTACGGCACATAGAACCATTGCATGGCACACAAACTTTATATGGAACACGCTGCGTAACTTGTAAAAAAAACAACTCGATTCACAACAGAATGTCACTCTGTACCACCAAGAAGTGCTCCTGAAGAGATTATGTATGTACCCATAAAAGGGAAATTTAGCAAAATTTATGTTTACGTTTATAAAATATGTGACCTCAATAGTATCAGCAAATGCAAAAAAAAAATTCCATGCTAAAACAAGTTGCACTGTGAAAGTATCCCAAGTGACTGGGTAGCAGAGTAGATAAAGAAACGGAATAAAACAATCTTGGGTAGCGGAGTCGGCCCAAGAAATATGGTCACTTCAACGATATAAAAAGAAAGCAAAACTGAAACACTAATATACGGCGATTAGCACAAAAGAGCCAGTGAAAGCCCGCTATTTGGCTACACGATAGCGGCTTTCCCAGTACACTGCACACAACTAATAATGTAATAGCATTTTTCTATTACAGTAATAGTACCTTTTAAAGCGCCGAATTGCCTTCTTACCTCCAAAGATGGTCGACAGAGCGTCGGGTTCTGGCGAGCCTTCTTCAGACCCAAACCCATACATACAATGTTTTCATATGCGCCATCCGAAACACGTTCCGAACAGAAAACAGGGTACTCGCTCAAACTTGTATGTTTGCATAGCGGGAACCCACCCCTTTGAAACCTCGGTGTGGGGGAAAAGGACGGTAAGCGGGAAGAACAACTGCAACGAGCGCTGTTCGTGAAAGCCGATGGCTACACGCGAGTACGGCATGGTGCAAAAGCGAGATTCAGTTGCTTCAGCACCACGAGTATTCCGCAAACCGTGAACACACAAGAGAACAATCAACACATCAGGCGACTGAGCCAATAGGGAGTTTTCGTAGACTGCGTTTCCCCCTCCGCTAAGCCGCCGCAACGAAGAAGCCGCTGCTGCGTCTGTGCGCCGATAGCCTTGACTGTAGAGTTACGGGTATCGTAGCAGGTTGCGGAAAGCGTTGTGGGACGGTGAAAATGATCTACGAAAACTCCCTAATAGCACGACCTGTCAACGGATAAAAGCAAGTGCTATGTAGTGGCAGAACAGCAATGGCTTGAAAAGTCAGTGGAGCAGCCTCCGAGGGAAGCGCGGCCAGCTGCGCAATGTCCCCTAGCCGAACCTTTTGTGACGTCGGCTGACAGGCTTCCTCCTCTCACCCTTTTCTCTCTGCTTCACAGAGGCGTGGCTTCAATGCTACTTTGAAGGCGCCTTTCCGGTTAATCCGTGCATAAAATGACCAAACCAATTTGATATTCGTGATGGCTGATGTCTATTTAACCAGGCTCGGGTGTTTTTTCTCATATTTAAAATCGTTTCAGCTTCCCTTTAGTGCCAAATTTTTTTTCCCCAAAAGTAACCTAAAAGTGCCAGATTTCTTCTTTTATTTTGAATTGTTACTCCTCTAGTATTACACATAAAATTTGAAAAGTTTATTACGCAAAAATCAGTGGAGGCGATAAAAATATTTGCCAACTAATACGAGTGCTGCCATCTATGATCAACGCCGCAAAACTACTCGTCCGTGGAATTGAGGGCAACCAAAGAAACCACTGGATGAGCTGAGCTCGTCCACGGCATTTTTAGCCAGAAAGTGGCCGACGAGCTCATCTCGTCCAAGGCACTTAAGGGGTTAAAGACCAGCCTCCCCCCTTATTTCAATCTTGCGGATGATTCAAACTAAAGGTTCGATCCTATGCGTCTCTATAGAAGGAAACTCCCGGTAATTAAAACTTTGCTTTATTCAAACAAATTTTCGGCCCCCCTCGAGTTCGAATTAATGAGATTCGATTGTAACAGCCACATGGTATCACAATCACGCTTACACCACGCCTGAGTTTGAAGGTAAACGCTCAGCAGCTCTCGGTGTGATTCTGATTTCAATGTTTTAGTAGTTTAAATGGGAGCGTTTCGAGTAAAACGCCATCAGCCTGTTAGTGCACAGTTTCCCCGAAAAAAAGTTTACAGTGTTGTTTCCATTGCAGAAATAAATCATGCACTGCTGAACACTCAGTCTCCGCCCAGATGTAGCGCTAGCAGTCCGGACAAGATGCCAATCTTTCAGAGCTCATCACTATCTTATCAAAAATTATTAATAATTTTCTGAGAATTTTAATGGGAAAATGGAGGCCCAACGAAGACCACGAATACATAAAGATGAATGGAGTCGGCTACCAGGAACGGACCACATTTTTCCATTGAAATTTTCAGAAAATCACTAATAACTTATTTATTTATTTATTTCATTCAGCCTTCAAGACCCCCGTCAAGGGAGGTATTACAGAAGGTACAACCCTCACGATAAGAAATACTAAAACAAAAGTTAATAAGATAGAACAAGTTTTAATAAGATAAGGAAAAGCTTTAATAATATAACCACAAGCTCTGAAGCATTGGCGTCTGGTCCAGACCGTTAGGGCTACATTTGGGTGGCGACTGAGCGTTCGGCAAAGCATAGTTTATTTTTGCAATTAAAAAAACAAAAAACTAGTGTACATTTTCTTTTTAAGGACACACTGTACATATACCAAATCCACCTGTCATCAAGTAGTTTCTCTATTAATTTGGATAGAGTTTTGTATTTTCTCACTAACACTCAAGTTAGTTTGGAACAGAAGAAAAATACATTTGCCATCTCCAGTCATAACACCCATATTGTGGAGGAAGAACAAGTGTTACAGTAGGGCATTGTATTGTCTTCAGTGCAGGACAGTGATGGAAGCGAAATGGAATCTGATAAACTCCAGGGTAAAACTTACGACGCCCAACCGGTAGGTGGTGTTGCCAAGGGATTTGAGTATGTCGCAGCAATCGTTGATGTGGCCCTGCGACAACAACAGCTGGGCCAAGGTGAAGGATATCGCCTGGGACCGGCTCGGGTTGCGAACTGCGTAGTCCTGCATCAGATCAGTATGGGTGTTTGGGGGTTTTATGGCGTAGCACCAGCTATGGCTGTCACTCACCAAAGAAGCAAGATCCAGCACTGCTCGCAACAAGTGGCTCCCATGGCCAGCAAACTAAAATCCTTAAGATTCAACTGGGGATTGCATGTCCCGCAACGTTGCAGGCATTTAAGGCAAGATATTTGACAATTATCCAAGCCCAGAACTCCTTCTGTCCCTGCACACCAAGCTTGGACAAATCTACATCTACAGACAATATTGTGTTAAGAGACAGACAACCTTGGAAGCAGCTCGAATCCATACAGGGGCGGAGGGAAAGGGGGAGGGGGGGTGACTGCCCCCCCCTTCCCCCTTAAGCCCCCCAAGCTTTTTTTAATGAAAATATTGATAAACACCAGCCAAAAGTTAAATTTTTGGTGACACAGCAACTATTGGGTCCACAAAATAGATCTGGGCAACATTTTGACCATAACGTCATATCTCAGCAGACTCCCCCCAGCCAGCCGAATGCCTACACCCCCTCCCCCAAGCCTGACCCATAGATCCCACCCCTGGGTTCACATAGCAGAAAACACAACTCACAATTATGTACTCGAACCCAGAATGAATTCATACTCCTCAACAGCCCGGCAGTGAACGAGTGGGTGCCAAAAGTTTACAGCCTCTCGCAACTTTCCCCTTCATGCAGATATTGGACACAGCTAATTCTCTCCCGCCCAAGTTCCTGTCAATTTGGCATGCCAGGCTGGCATCCCACCACTTGCAGTGCCAACCTCCGACAAAAAGCGCACCTTGAGGAGCTGCACCGCCTTCTCCAGCTGCTTCTCCTTGCAGTGCACCGCAGCAGCCTTGAGAAGGATGGCCTCATCGCCCGCACTGGTAAAGTTCTTTTCGAAGGCAGCAATGGCTTTGCCACACTGTTCTGCCTGGCCAGTGTGGTAGAGGAGGAGGCAGTGGTTGAGTGCAATGGCCCTCCGCTGCTGCGAGGTCAGCTTGCTTTCGAGGCCCTCGGACACAGCCATCTTCATCTTTTTCTTCGAGTCGAAGACATTCTGGTCCTACAAGTTGAAGAAAGGTCTTCGCGTCATGCAACTGCTTCACCTAGGTTCTTTCGTAAGTTTGGTGAGGAGAGCCCAGACTGGTTGGCTAGCTTTTGGGTGAGACCAGTTCTCCCCTGGGGCCAGCCTTGAAAGGAGACTCTCCCAGCAGTCTTATCCTTTTCGTTGCTGACTTCAGCCAAATCAACAACAAATCAAGGGTGAAAAACTGTTGAGGGAGGTTGGCTCACCAGTATGCACAAGTGCATAAAGTATTTCTATCACCTGCCAGTTAGAACACAAAACTGTGGAAGCAAGTGCTGGAAACTGCTAATAAACACATTTTAATGTCACTCAGGAAGCAAATCTAGCCAAGTTACACTAGCAATCATGATATCAGTTACACACATAATTCCGCTGAAAACAAATACCAACAACCTTCATAAATGCAGCAATGTGAGAAAATTGTTTTCGCGGGCTATGACAAATACTTTTTTATGTAAGCTAAACACAGCTCGCAAACCCTGGAATCCTGATATACCACATATTCCGAGCACTTAACTTTTTATGAACAGAGCTCAGATCTGTATTCTCCCACAGGATGCGTGGAGAGCCAACGTGTTGCTGGTGTTGCGACGTCAAGTTGCTAGGAGAAATCGCCTCGTCTGAAGCAAGCCTTTGGTTAAAGGGGTACTGCGGCCATTTTTTTAGCTACCCAAACAAACTGCGTTTTCTGAATACGCGGACTTTAGTCTTCACTGTATGCTATTTAATGTCTCGAAATTTGAAACAGCTATTGAGATAACAGTAAATGAAGATGATGCCGAAACCTACATTAAAATTTCTGTGCGCTCTCCAGTGATCCGACGTCGCAAATGGTACAGACTTTTAGGTTGTGTATGTAGTCTTAAAGGGATGCTCAACCGAAATCTGGATTCCACAAAACACGCGGCAAAAGCGTGCAACAAGATGCTACAAACACCAAAACATCACTCATACAGCGATATCTCGAACGAATGACCGAATTTGTCAAGAAAAGGAGGCGCATTTGACAGAAATGTTCATGTCATATTTCTCCGAGAAGGAGGGGGACCGGCCTCGCGTCTTCTCCGCCTCGCAGTCTTGAGGGAGCGAAGCGAAAAGAGGAGGAAACTAGGTATATTCACGGTCACGCACCTCGTCAGCCTGGTTCAATCTTGACCTCTTTTTTCAAAAATGCGGCCGCCCATTCGAGATATCGCTTTACGAGTAGTGTTGCAGGGATTGTAGCGTCCCGTCTACATCTCCTGCATTTTTTCTGAAATCCAAATTTCGGTTCACCATCCCTTTAAACAGAGTATGTTGAGCGTTTTCTCGGGCTTCTCAATGAACGAGCTTCCAAGCATTCTTTTCCCACCACCAAATGTCTTGTAATCAATTGGTTAGAAAAGTGTTAGAAAGTGGGCTTACTGCCCACTTTCGAACATTTCTGTCGTCACACTTCTGTGTTGTCAGTAGGGGCTCTCAGTTTGAGAAACATGACGAGAATAAAATTAAAAAATGCAATAACTTCGCAATTTTTTTTTTTTTTTCACACAATTTTGGGGGTTTTGGTATAGTAATCGTGTTTATTGTTGTGTTAAGCCAACTCTGAGGCAAATCAACGACCATAAAAATATCGCTGGAGTACCCTTTAAGTACAAACAGTATAGGTGCCGCATAGTTTCTTGGTGCTCCGAAAATGGATCTGATTGGCACCCTGCACATTCTGCAGTAAAGTGGGCACGTAGGCTTTTTTTCATAGAAAGCTTGCATAATCTATAAAAAAAATATGGTGATTTTTCGAATTTCCATCGAAAAAATAAAATGCATGGCATTGTGTCAGCAAAGTCTGTTTTCTCTTACATTATGTGAAAGAAACACGCCCTTATTAAGAAAGCTGGTAAATTTTGTGGTTTGGCTATGCACACCACACATTTATGAGCTTGGAGCACTGTCTCATACTTATAACGACTATGGAAGCATTCCAGTCCCTTTAAAGAGGCGGTGCAACGATATTCAATTAGAATGTTTTTCACTTTACACGAGCCTAGTGGCACTAGTGGGACTCAAGGATACTCGCACGCAATGCCATTGACCAAGAAACTCCTTTGTTGCGCTGTAAATTCGAGGACAAAACCGAGTGTTTTCATTCAATCTCTCCTTCGCAAAACCTGATGACGTAGCTGGGCGGTAGCAGTACCGCCCAGTGACGATATTTGAATGCGGCTCATAGATTGGACCCGAACTGGCGTGGACATTCGATTTGGGCTCGTGATAATTGATAGCTCGAGGCGCATTCGGGTAGTGTCCTGTGTCCACTCGCTGTAATGACGACAACAGCCAAACCATAACATTGTCTGGAGCTCAGCGCACGTCCTGTGCCTTGCCAACCCCAGTGCATGGCTATGATCAACATTGGCGGCATATAATCGGCTCCAGATTACGTGGCCGCTTGTTCCGGCTGCGAGTTGAGGGGGTGAACTCGGCTCGTTTTTCTTAATTTTTTTTTTTCTGCAACTTCAATTGCGTGTGGTGAAAAACGAATGGGTGTTTCACAGGTCATTAACGTCAGGGATCCGTTCTAAGCGGTATTTGCGCAAAATACAAAAATCGTTGCATCGCTCCTTTAAAGGGACACTGACAGGGTATTTATGCTCGAGCGGCAAAACGTCAAAGCCTGGAGCAAGGAGGCATCAGGCCACTTCCAACGATTTGCCCTCCCTTTCTCTTCCCCTCCCCCGTGTTTGTTTGTGCGAGCATACATGTGTTGTGTATGCGTGTATGTGCATGTTTCATGTGAAAATCTTCCCTAGCTTTGTTTTGTTTGTAGTAATGTGGCACTGAAGGCCTCAGGTATGGGCCCATGGCCTTTTTGTTACCTCGCAGCCCTTCAGGCTGAATAATAATAATTATTATTATTATTACTTACGGCGGCTTGAAATTAGTTTTCTTTCCACTTGAAAACCGCCGATCGAGGACTGGCCAGTTTGAGCCGCGCTCACTCTCTTCTTTGTGGTCACGTGCCGTTTATGGTTGACACAACCACCAAATAAAATCAGTCGTGCGTCATCGAAGGAACACACTCAATATTAAAATAGAAAAATATGATACCCATTTTTTGCGGCTTCTAAAAAGCTGCAAATACATTGATTGAAAAAAAGAAAGCTCCACAGCCCAGTGACTTCCGGCAACTCTCTCCTCCTCTATATTTCTTCTGCCTCCCCAGTCCAGTTTCAATTTCGGCTTCGAGCAGTTGCATTTTTTTTTCTTTATTAAAATATATGTGACGCTGTGGTAAAATATTGATTGGGTAGTCTTCTGACACCATGTTAAATCGCCTGGTAAAAAATAAAATAAATTTTGAGGGGTGTCAGTGATACTGAACCGAAATTTTTAGCTCACAAAACAAGGCTGGACGGATAGGCGGGACTCTGCAAAACCCAAAAACATCACTCATACAGCGATATCTCTGACGGATCGCCGCATTTTTGGAAAAGAAATGCGCGACTGAACACGGCTGAGGAGGAAGACGAGACAAGATACGTCACGACTCTCAATCTCGCTCCTCCTCGCTTTCGTCCCATAGAGCTGGTGAACCGAAGCGAGGAGGAGAGAAACGAGGTCGCTTTCCCTCATTCTCAAATCCTCCCTGGGGACGACGACGTAAAGGGCCTCGCTTGATCGCGTCCTTCTTTTACAAATATACAGCTACCCGTTTGAGATACCGATGCATGAGTGATGTTTTGGAGTTCGTAACGTCCCATTCAACGCTTCTGAGGCCTCATTTTGCAAAATCCAAAAATTGGTTCAGTATCCCTTTAAGAACAGACAGAAAAAGCACCAACCTTGTTCACAGTAACTATATTGTTAGCAGCAACTGCAGCAATTGCATTGTCGGATGGCCTGAAAGTAAAAATCAAAATGAAAAACAAAATACATTGAAATTCTGTCACATGTCAAAATCTGTACCCCAAATGCCTCCCCGGACTCTTTTTTTTGTAGAATTTGGTAATTCCTTCAAAATCTGGCACATATACCCTTTTGTAATCCCTCTAGTTAACTTGGCTCTTTATTTGAGAACAAAGTTTCCGAACATGCTACGTGGCCCTCACAACCCCAAGAAATGAAAAAAAAAAAAAAAAAAAACTCCCACAGTGCACAATGCTTGTACATAACGCTCCGCAATCTGGCATAAGACCATGACATGCATCTCCAAACGTTGTTTGATAACCCAAGTTCCGAGCTACTCACCGCTGTTTCAAGACAAGGTTGTACAGTTTCATTGCTTGGTCAGAATGGCCAAGCTTCTGCTTTGTGTAGCCTAGCTGAGTCCTGAAGAAGAGAAAAAAAACATTTCAACTGGCAGAAAAAGGGGACAAACCTCGAGAGGACAGAGAATAGGTTTTTACCAACCTTACTATTGCAAGTTCGTCCTCAATTTCTTCCTCCGGGTCATCATTCTCTTCCAGTGTTTTTTTGCATAGCTCTAATGAGAAAGAAAAACGCTCATAATCTAACACAACAGTGCAATGCTTCTCAACATCCAAATGACAACAAGAGTAAGCAACCTAAAAAGGCCAAGTTGAATCAAACTGATTTTGTTCCCCTTTATGGACCTGTCCCTTTCTTTGAAGAAAAAGCTGAAATAGGTGCAACACCAGAAAGTTAACCTCCCCAAACCGAAACGAGTACTGTTCCGAGGTGTCTTTTGAACATCAGATGCTCGAAAAAGTTATTTCCAGGCACAGAAAGGCAGCGAACAAGACAGTTCAAACCAATCTCAAGCGAACAAAGTGGAAATTTGCAATTTTCTGGTAGCGTGAGACACTTATTTAAGCATTAAATTTTCACTAATTACAGTGGAGTCCGAGAAGCTACAAAAACGCCGCTACACTTGGATCCCTCCTTTATGCTTCCAGGAAAGAGGTACAAAAAGTAATTAAAGCACACGGCCGAGCAAAACGGATATGAAAACAAAAAGCACCTTCAGCTTGCAAAAGCTTCTTGAGCGAGTCGGCATACTTGGAAAGTCCGAGCAGGATGCAAGCTTTATTGTAGCACAGCTCGTACGTGTGTTCCCTGAGCTCGGGGGCCCCCTTGACCTGTAACAGGTGGCTGGTCAACTTCGCTAATGAGAGTGCCACAAAGGAACTTACCTCTTGTTCCAGCTGCGCCGTCAGACATGCAACCACTGCAGCCAGATTGGTCTCGCGCTCCTCTTCATACTCGTCCTTCAAAGGAAGCAAAGGTATTTTCTGGCAGCATGTAATATGGTTTTCGAAACCTCCATACCTTACACCGTCCTTTTGGGCAAGCCGTCTTGTCTTAGAAGAACAACTTATCAAGATCCTTAATGCCGAGCAGTCAAAGGGGCTCAGGCAACACCGCCTAGACCAAGGCCCGTACACTTAAATTTACTCAAATTTTCACACTGTGACCGGGCATCGGCAGATTACACGAGAGTTGCGTTCAATCCTTCAACGGACACTCGGCATCAGTCTCGGACCCCATCGCTGAGTTAGCACCGTTGTAGTGTGATGACATTTTACGAAGAAATAGAAGGAAATGATGGGGCTCTCTTCAGTCTGGGTGGTGTTGGCCCAAAACTGCTGCATGGAGCTACGTTCCATGTTAACTTTGATAAATTCTGGTACCACAAACTGCTAAGATGTTCGGCTGACACTGCTAATCAGCTATCAGAGAGAGATAGCTTGTAGTTCTGAAACTATTATCTGGCAGTAGTACAAGCTCTCAAATAGGGAAGACATAAGGGGAAAGCAAACAACTGCACAATGACTAGCACACGAGGAGCCCTTAAGTATATTAAGCCCAAGGTTTCCCACAAAATAAACTGCTAGTGCTACAGAGCGCACATAAAAAAAGGCATCTGGGCAAATTTTTACCTCAGAATTCTTGATTAAATCCTTGTACACTTCGAAGCACTCTTGGTAGTTCTCAAGCCGATAGAGCTGAAACCAGAGGAGAAAGCTTTGAGGTCCTGAACTACTGCACAACAGCCCACATGAAAGGTGGCTTGCACTGCATCCGTACTCACAACTTGTGCCTTGAGCTCTTTAACTTTGAAGCTCTGACTGGCAGTACTATTTATAAGCTTCCACGCTTCCTTGATGTCGTTCAGTCGGTAGAGGCAGTACGCTTTCTCAAATGTCACGTCACTGCAACATAGAAGCAGTCTCTGTTGAGCGACCAAAATCCAAAGATATGTGTAATGAGGAAGTCGTGTCTCTACTAGAAAAGCATCACATACCCGATATTCTTCGCGTTTTTATTGATGACGTCGACCGCATCCTTGAAATTTCCCAACTGGATATGGGACACCACTTTGCATTGCAGTGCTTTTTCTTCAGTCGGAAACTCATGCAATACTAAAGAGAAAACAGAACAAAGAATGTGTTTCATTAAAAATACTTTGCTTCGATTAATCAAAAAGAAAACTTTCGACCCGAGTCGCGACCTTTCGGCTCGAGAGGAACCCAGATATCGAGCCAAAGACAAGTCGACCGAAAAAGTATGCTAACGGCTCTAGTGGCAAAATCTCGAGTTGGCACGTGGAATTTCTGGACTGACAGGCTAACAAAGTTAAATGGCAGCTTTGCCATATGGCTTTACGCTACACTTTTTGGTGGCGTGACAGCCATCACGCCGGCCTGCAATCGCTGCTTTAGTACTAACTCAGCAAGGTTCGCGGTTCCAAAGACGTGAAATACACCACAAACGTTAGCTGCTGAAGTACACCGGCAAGTTGTAACCCATAGAAGGGTCCAAGAAGGGATCCTACGGGCCGAACACATGGCATCAAGGAAATGCACCATTACTTTTGTCGCAAACTTTCAGGGCTCGGTCGTACTCTCCACTCTTCCCGTGCCGACTGAGCTCGAGGTAAAGTCCGGGCAGCACCGATGATGTGTTCGTATGCGCCATTTTTCAGGCACACCCAGCACACTTCAGCAAATTTCGTCCCTTGTCCACGAACAAGTTTGACCAAACAGCTCACCAACTACCCAGCACTGCCAACACCACTGTGGCCAACACTACCAAGCCAACCAAGCTCGACAGCGCTCCCAAGCCCATACTACTGATACTACTAAATGGGTGGACAGCACATACGACCAACACGTTAGAAGACCTTAGTAGTGGCTGGCGCCCCCTGGAACGTAATGGACGGACTTGATAAAACAACAAAATAAATAATTATTATAATTTTTCTAGACCGTTATAATATTCAATATAAATAATATATTAGGCAATTTTTTTTAATTTTTAACAAGCATTAACGACGCCTTTTACAATTGACTGTACATGTGTTCGTTCCGGTTTCGGTCCAGGACACAAAATTGGGGAAAATAGAGATACTGTCTGCGTTTGATTTACTTACACCTCCTGCACCGGTGCAGGAGGTGTAAGTAAATCGAGCGCGGCTGCTATAAACTGTGAGTGTGACACAAGTGTGACAGGTAAAGAATGGCTCCGACCTCATCCCTTCATCACGCGCTCGTTGTCGTTGTCCAGGAGATGCTCCGACCTCATCCCTTCATCACGCGCTCGTTGTCTTTCGCCGGGCTTTGCTGCGCGTGCGACGTAGTGTTTTCAAAAGGTGCCGATAATAAAATCGAATGCATGTCACTTAGTTAGTTGGCGGTACCTAACCCCGTTTGAGACAGGGGGGTCAGCAAAAGTTCACATTGCCGACACAGGTAAAATTTTTAGTTTCTTGTTTTGTTCTAGCTTTTCCCACTTTTGGGACACTTTCACTGACTGGCGATCACACGCAGTCTCTCCCACTCAGCAAGAATGCGCTTGGTTACAAGAGTACAGTGGGCCCCTTCCCCTGAATCCCAGCATTTCGGGAATCCTCTTTTCGCTGGTCGCCCAGGGCGGTCGACAGTGGTCTAGGACAGGGCACCACAGCAGCACGTGGAGGCAGGAGGGGGGGTGCGGATGTCCGACCCCCCCTTTTGATTTTTGCATGTGTAAAATTTAGGGCGGGAGACGAGGGAGAGGGGGAGGGGGTTCCTAAACATACGGTACGCTGACCAACACCTGACCCCCCCCCCCCCCCCCTCAGGAAATTCCTGTATCCGCCCCTGCGTGGAGGACGTCCTCGCTTGACTGCCCGCACAGAGGACAGGCCGTGTCGGTGTCTCCGAAGAGTTGGGCACGTCGGCACTATTTCAATCGATATTGTTTGCAACTTTGGCCGTGTTTATTGTGTCTTTATTTATGTGACATATATTATTTATGTGAAATAATAATAATAATTAATTCACAAATGCAGTTATCTCCAAATGTATTTCGGGTCCGATCAAACTCACCAGGGGCTTGTGGGACCAGACCCAGCAATTAAATTAAAGCAAGTCGAAATTAGCGAATAATAATAATAATAATAATAATAAATTTATTTACGCCGGGTTAGTTCAAAAGAGCAGAAGGCACGTTCGTCTAAGCCAACAAGGGCTTGTGGTATTAGGAAAAACTTTTTTCCTATTACCAGAAGGTAATAGGAAAAACTCAAAAACTAAATACAATAAAATAGCGCCATTTCACAGTCACACTTCATCAAAATTCCAATTTCAAAGGATCAAGTTCTTGTCAAACAGATTAATATACAACATTAGAAAATGAGCACAAACGTATATTGCATAGAAGCTAAAGTAGTTACTCATACAGCGTGAAGACAGTCTGTGCCACTCACATACAAATAAATGAGAACAATAATTGATAGACGAGAAGAAAGTTTCTGCACGAAGCAATAAAAAATCACGAAATAACTATGGTTGATGCTCACATAGTTTCTTCGTTGATAAAAATATTGCGTAGTACTTTTTCAAGTTTTCTTTTTGGAAGTACGGTCCGAGAGACTTGGTGGTAACTCACTGAAAATGTAAGGGACATAAAATGAATGCATGTTTTTCCCATACCGCGTATAACATGTTGGAACGATGGAAATTGGAACTTTCCGCAATTGCCGCGTGACGGGGTGAGTAGATTTAAAGTCGTCCTTCCAGTTGTAATAGAGCACTACTGTCTATAGGAACACAAATCGAAAGTTCGGCATTAATAAAGTTTGAAATAAAACTAAATTAGAAAAAAAAAAAAAAAACTCATGCCATTACACGCGTTTTTCAAAATTCCTTTTAAAATATCTTTCACTTTTTTGTGCCATATTCTCGAGCAGTTTCTAAATATAGTTATGCCATAGCGTAAATGGGTGTAGGCTAATGAATAAGCTATGCGCTTGCGTAAACCGAGGGACATGAATGTTTTGAGGTTATAGAGCAAACAGGAGACACTCCTCAGCTTAGCACAGATTTGAGTGAGATTCGAATTCCATGGCAGATCAGAGTCAAAGAGAATGCCAATATATTTACTGTGTCAGAATATAGAACTGTATCACAATGGTACGAGAAACAATTAGATGTGTGTGGAAAAAGTGGAATATTTAGCGAAACAATTTTCAAAGGATTGTGGAAACATGCAAGCTCTGTTTTAGAGATATTCATAGCAATCAGATTTTGATTAAACCAGTTCATGAGCTCATTACAAGAACACTGAAGCATCTACGGTGCTTTTGGGTATGAAAGATGACAAGTCAATACAAGAGTATCATCGGCGTATTGGTATACAGTTGGAAACTGCGCGAGCCATATCTTTAACATAGATGTTGAATAGGAGCGCGGCGAAAGTATAAAGCCTTGTGGAACGCCGGCTTTTAATGAGAGGTTGCTGCTATATACACCATTTAAAGCCGCCAGTTGTGAACGTTCATGTAAAAATATTTTAGCAGTGATAAGAAAGGGCCCCGAAAACCCAAAAAATGGGATGGAGAAACGTCTAAAAAGCAGGCACAGGTAAAAAGGTTATGTTCGAAGCTGAAATTTCGCTCGTCAGTTAGTGATTCCAGGAGTGGTTGCATGCCTCGGCCAGCAATAAAACCCTACTGATTTGGAGACATAAGCTCGTGTTTTTCAAGGAATGAAGACATTGCATTATCTATAAATTTCTCCAGTGCCTGGGCACGGCACGGCAAAATAGATAGTGGACGATAGTTCTCGACAACATTTCTGTGGCTTCCCTTGAACAGGGGTTTGACAACGGCGATTTTTAACTGATTAGGTATGAAACCGGATTCAAGAATTGTATTGAACCCATCGATTCCCGGAGACTTGTTTGGTTTGAGGCTTAGTATTATTATAGATTCTAAATCGCCTCCAGTCTTCCGGGGAAGAAAAGCAGGAGCAGAATTGGAGTAAGGAAGAGAACAAAAACTACTGTTCTGTCCGAACTTCCCTGAAAGAGATGCGAAGAAATTATTAAATTGGCAGTCACAAGTGAATCAGGTCCAAAAGCATCACCCAAAAGACTAGTCGTGCACATGCGGTGAGATACCTCACAATTCATTAGGCAGTGACCAAGTTTTAGCTGAGTTGTTTCGTTGGTCTGAAAATTGTTTTTGAAAATAAGTTCGTTTAGCGGAACGAATAAGTGCATTGACTCTGTTGCGGATGGACCGAAACTCAGCTTGTAGGCTTCGGTTCCGCGGAGAGCGACGGCAACGTCTCCAAGCAATCTCCTTAAGTTTGATGGCGGATAATATATCGATTATTATTCAACCATCGTAGGTTTGTCTTTTTCGTTTTAAAGTAGATAACGTTTTTCGGGCGTCCGAAAACCGAATAAAGATATCAAAAAAGGAGTTATAGATTTCGGTTGGGCTGACAAAGGAATTGAAACGCAACCCCAGTCGTAATTATAGATATATATGAAGCTGTCGAAAGTATTGTGGTCAATTATTTCAACTCGACGCGAATGTCAGTTCTCAAATTAATAGGAGCCCTGCCAGGAAATTCTAAATGGCACGCCACAAAATAGTGGTCCGGTAGCTTTTCAGTTATAATTACCGATTGTGTCGTCGAGGTTGGTGCTCTTAAGCTGATATGGTCAATGGACGAGCTAACAAGTTTGCCGCTAAGAAATTCCTCTCTGGTTGGGGCGAGAATGGTGGGCTCGACACCGTGTCCGATAATAAGGTAAGGTATTCGCAGACGAGTGACTTCGAGGGCTTCATGAGATCAATGTTAATATCTCCTGTCAAGCAAAGGGTCGCATTTACCGGCAAAGATTCTAGACAATTTCGTAACTCAGTGAGAAAATCGGCAACAATTTCGGAGGGTGGTCTATAGAAAACTAGGAAGTAGAGGTCATACATGGAGGTTAAGATATGCAGTGCGACTGATTCACAAGTAAGAAACAAAACAGTTATTTCAGAATATAAAAACAATTAGTTTTCGAGGAAAACAGCAACGCTGCCACCGCGCTTGTTTTAGCGGGTACGGAAGCAGCTGCTAAAACCGGGTAGGGAGAAAAGTTCTATGTCTTGGCTGCGAATATTAATTAATTTCGGTTATCACTCTAAAAAAAGTATGTGCGTCTACTTTCACGCACAACACTCGGAGAGCTAATCAGCGCAACTTACGGAGGCAGCTCAGCGAATGACGATGCCGAAACATATGTTTAGACCAACGCAGTCTGAGTTGTGACATTAAGCAATGCAAAACGTCACGCTTGCATTGCGTAAGGTCACAACTCAGTCTGCGTTTTTTGGTCTAAGCAGATGTTTCGGCATCGTCATTCGCTGAGCTGCCTCCGTAAGTTGCGCTGATTGGTTCTCCGAGTGTTGTGCGTGAAAGTAGACGCACATACTTTTTTTAGAGTGTAGAACAAATGCATCGGCTATCAGGAGCACGTAATTTATGAAAATCTAAATTTGACCCACTCTAAAAAAATCCCTTGCGTCTACTTTCCCGCACAACACCCGGAGAGCCAATCACCGCAACTTAAGGAGGCAGCTCAGCGAATGACGATGCCGAAACATATGTTTAGACCAAAAAACGCAGTCTGATTAGTGACATTAGGCAGTGCAAAACGTCACGCATGCATTGCATAATACAGGGTGTCGAACCGAAATGTTTTTCGCCCCGGTTTTCGTTCCGGTTCAGGGAAAACGGTTCAACTCCGGTTCAACTCCGGAGTGAAAAAATAAAGGTTCAAACCGGTTCGTTCTCATATGCTACAAAAACAATTGAAGACCGAAAAAAAAAAGAGAAAACTTTGCATATATTTTAAACGTGTGACATATAAAA